ACATAGATGTAGTATAAAACCCCAAAAGGAAGCTTCTTGCAAATAACCCAACGGTTAGGTTTAGTCAAAGCAATGACCTCTTCCCCGAAATACAAGTGTAGGTTGAAGCATCTGAGGAGGGGAATTGACATCACTTTTTCAACTTTTGTCACCACTTTAATCATAATTCAAGCAGACTGAGCACGCTAAGTTAGCCGTTGCTCTACAAAAAATACAGCTTCACCTAACACCGAAAAAGAAACCAAATCAAATAAGGAGTGCTATTCTGTCCACTTTATTGTCTAATTTTTTCACCCACTTTTTAACGAAAATTTTAGTAACAAGCTCATTCTATTGCAAAATTACATAGAAGGACATAAGTGTTTTTGTTTGGGAATTAAAGTGATGTAAGCGACATCGCCTCTCTGTATCTCTCCGGCGCACCACCGTCCTCACAACCCAACTCAAAACCAAGTGAAGGACCCAAGGTTTAAGTGCTGCTTCCCTTTGATTGAGCAAACATATTATGCCATTCTTAGGATTTAAGGAACAATTCTTGGTATATACACAAATAGTGAGAAAATAGAACAAATCATGTTCCTTCTTCCAGTCGGGCTAAACGGTAATAACCCTAAAAAGTGCAAACAGAGTTATAGATTAGGCTTCAGTCTCTGTCTATCCTTCTTGCAATTTCGTAAATGCACGTGAATCAGTGAATAAATTAATAGATGAATTAGTTTAGAATATTGCAAGTATTTAAAATAAAAAAAGAATACCGCAAATATTAAATCATCCTCACCTGCATTGCCAATTGCCACTCTCTTGTCTCTTCCAATCCCTTTCATCAATTATGATTTATGGATTTCCACGGCTAGACATAAGGATTTTCCACCAAAGACTAATCGGTGTGCAAAGACTTCCACAGGTAGCTAGTCATCTCATTCATGCATTCATAATATCTGCTCCTACAAGGCTTGCAAACTTGTAAATATCCAAGTAGTGACTACCAGTCTACCAGCATGTGTGGTGTGAAATATAAGAACATATCCAAATCGTTTTCGTAAGTAAGTTGATAAGTTGTGAATTGTGATGGAACAAGATGACCCTTAATTCAAATTCCAGCGTTTTATCAACTTTTAGTCAGGTTCAAATTTAGAATGCATTTGTACTCATGAGGCATTGGGGTAAAATAGCTAGGGGATAATGTTTTAGTCAGGTACAAATAGTAACTGTTTTTTTTGTTTTTGGTTATTTTTTCATCTAGGGGATAACTTTTTGTTGTTTATTGAAAGGAATATTAGAACACATCCACACCCTATTTTGTCAAATTGTTCTAAAGTGTCTGATGCTGATTTTAGAATTCTCCTGACTTTCTAACTCAAATCTGTGCCAAGAGAACCCAACTAAAGTGGTTCGCCGCTCCTTGTATGAAGTATTAGTGAATTATTTGTAATTTACAAAACGAAACGAAAATTTTTGCGTTTTAAGCATACATGGTGAAATTTATGTTATAAATTTTTTGATAAGAAGCAGGTGTAAATTAGAATCATACTAATATAGGTATGCTATATACATAAATTTGATGGTACCATAAGTTCAGAATTAATCTTTAGTGTCATTAAAAAATATACGCAAATTTATATACATAAATTTGATAGCACCATTAATTTGGGGTATTGCTATTAGGTTTTTCCAGCCCATGATAAGTTGTCCTAAGAGTATAAGGAATTATAGTCTTAGAGGATTAAATTGTTTTCCGAATTGGAGTTGTTTTCCGAATTGGAGTTAGTTTCTCAATTGGAGTAGGTTTTATAACTAGATTCCAATTAGGATTAATAATCCTTATTGAAGAAGACCTTTATTTTGTCTATATAAAGGGGCTATTGTACTAGTTTTGAATTGGGGGGAGCAAAACAATAAATTGTATACCACTCAAGGGATTAGAGTGAGAGAATATTGTAAAGTGTGTGCGAGAGAAAAGAAAAGAGATAGTGTATTTCTTGTTCCTGTTCTTTCAGGTTTTTCGTCAAGTCCTAGTTCTAGAGATTTGGCAAGATTATTGGTTGTACTCATTATTGATATAGTGAAAGATTGTTGTTGCTGTCCCGTGGACGTAGGCATGTATTGCCGAACCACGTTAATTCTTGGTGTTGATTTGTCTTGGTTATTTGTTTTCGATTTCCGGAGCTTGATCTGTTTTTACCATTCTTAAATGTGATATTCTCAACAACTGTTATATTTAGTACAGCCAATATGGTGCCGTTCAGGTGTTTTTGACTAATCTCTGTAGTTTTTGAATTCATCTGGGGTATTTGTGATTTTGAACGACAATAAAAATTTATGGGCTATAGGAACCGCTTGTTAAGAAAATGGGTCCAAATTCAGAGCTGCATTCTTCTTCCCTGAAAATAAGAAGAAAACGCTTCCTCAACTCCATATTTTGGCACCTCAGGTATATTTGCGTTCTAAAGCCTTTTACTTCTTCCGATTTCTTCAGAGCTATTATTTTACCCATATGTGATTTGTAAAGTGGAAGATTGGATTTCATATGTCTGAGTATTTAGGGTTTTGTACAATGCAAACTTGGGCTTATTGATCCAAATGGCTAGAACAATGTACTCAACAATTTCATATCCTCTTGGGCCAAGGAGAGTATATTACTTGCCACTAAGGAATATACTTCATATAATAGCAATGTGCTGATGTGTGGCATGCTTTAATTAGGGATATTTATGTGTAGTAAGAAAGCCATAGAGAGAGAGAGAGAGAGAGAGAGAGAGAGAGAGAGAGAGAGAGCCGAGGACACACAAATGACACATGTAAAACATTTACTTCATTGCTTCATTTTTGGTACAAAAAAAACATTTATTGTTAACTAAGGAACCATTTTTATGGATTTATAAGAACTTGTTTCTATCCTAACACATTAATTTTGCTCAATAGGAATCCCATAACTGAAATTTTATAGAAATGGTGTAATTGGTCAATCTGAAATTTTGAATTTTAGCCGATGAATGAACTCTTACAAGCTTTCTACTGCATATACACATCTTTTTTGGTTGTTAGATTTTGTTTTTATTTCATTTTTTGGTAAATGCAATGGTTGGTTTTGCAAAGGACTGACCTTTATCTTTTGTAGTTTTACCTTTTTTTGGTATTGAGTATTGGTTGGTTTTATTTTATAGATTGACAGGTATTCCCAGATATTTTTTTCAAGAGAATTAATTATCTGTTTGTCTCAGCTAACAGAGTAAATCTGGGGTTCTGTACACAACAAAATATGGAATTTAGCTAAGAAATTTCAACAAAACAAAGTTTAAACTTTTCGATATGGCAAAAAACAGATTCTCTTCTTTCTCAAAACCCTCAAATTTGTCATATGATCAGGGTTTATTTAGTCCTAACAACCCAACTCAAAACGAAGTGAAGGACCCAAGGTTTAAGTGCTGCTTCCCTTTGATTGAGCAAACATATTATGCCATTCTTAGGATTTAAGGAACGATTCTTGGTATATACACAAATAGTGAGAAAATAGAACAAATCATGTCCCTTCCTCCAGTCGGGCTAAACGATAAGAACCCTAAAAAGTGCAAACAGAGTTATAGATTAGGCTTCAGTCTCTGTCTATCCTTCTAGCAATTTCGTAAATGCATGTGAATTAGTGAACAAATTAATAGATGAATTAGTTTAGAATATTGCAAGTATTTAAAATAAAAAAAGAATACCGCAAATATTAAATCATCCTCACCTGCATTGCCAATTGCCACTCTCTTGTCTCTTCCAATCCCTTTCATCAATTATGATTTATGGATTTCCACGGCTAGACATAAGGATTTTCCACCAAAGACTAATCGGTGTGCAAAGACTTCCACAGGTAGCTAGCCATCTCATTCATGCATTCATAATATCTGCTCCTACAAGGCTTGCAAACTTGTAAATATCCAAGTAGTGACTACCAATCTACCAGCATGTGTGGTGTGAATTATAAGAACATATCCAAATCGGTTTTCGTAAGTAAGTTGATAAGTTGTGAATTGTGATGGAACAAGATGACCCTTAATTCAAAGTCTTTGCTGCATATGGATTTCCACAACCCATCACAACCAGATACCAGTTGTGTTGACAAGGGACCTGCAAACTTGCAAATGGGGTTGTGAACAACCGCCACTCATTTCAGTTGCCCTTTTTTCTTTTCTCCATCAGACGACTTTCGTTGTCACTCTCCGGCCTACATCGATAAACATCTCACCAACAAAGCAAAGAAAATAAGAAGAAAATGGATCCAAATTTATGACTTTTACTTCTTCCGATTTCTTTAGAGCTATTATTTTACCCATATGTGATTTGTAAAGTGGAAGATTGGATATCATATGTGTGAGTATTTAGGGTTTTGTACCATGCAAACTTGAGCTTATTGATCCAAATGGTTAGAACAGTGTACTCAAACAATTTCATATCCTCTTGGGCTAAGGAGAGTATATTACTTGCCAATGAGAAATATACTTCATATAATAGCTATGTGATGATGTGTGGCATGCTTTAATTAGGGATATTTTTGTGTAGTAAGAAAGCCATAGAGAAAGAGTCACATTTTTGTTTTTTTTGGATCAGTGAACGTATTCATAAATAAATTAGTTGATAATATAGCTAGTATTTAAAAAAAAAATACCGCAAATATTAAGTCATGCTCACTTGCATTGCCAATTGCCACTCTCTTTTCTCTTCCAATCCCCTTCATCAATTATATTTATGAATTTCCACCGCTAGCTAATCGGTGTGCAAAGACTTCCACATGCAGACCCTTAATTCCAGTCTACCAGCATGTGTGGTGTAAAATATAACAACATATCCAAATCTGTTTTTCGTATGCAAGTTGATAAGTTGTGAATTGTGATGGAACATGAAGACCCTTAATTCAACAACCCATCACAATCAAGTACTAGCTGTGTCGACAAGGGACCTGCAAACTTGTAAAAGGGGTTGTGAACACCCACCACTCATTTCAGTTACCCTTTTTTCTTTTCTCCATTCGACGACTTTCGTTTTCAGCTCTCCTACCTACATCGATAATCTTTTCCTATAAATTCGATATCGTACTAATTTTAGTAGCTAAACATCTCACCAACAAAGCAAAAAAAAATTGTGTGTAATAATGGATAGCCATTGTCACCTCAGTATTGCTCACTATTTGCTTCTTTTGCTTTTGTTCTCTTCCTGCATGCAGAGTACTCAAAACTCTGTTTCTGTTTGGCTGGTGAAGAAATTTCAAGTAGTGTGAAGACAAATTCATGCACTGACGAAGAAAGACAAGCGCTTCTCGTCTTTAAACAACATCTTGTTGATCATTCTGGTAGGCTTTCGTCTTGGGTGAGTCATGATTGCTGCCAATGGGAAGGTATTTCATGCAACAACAGCACTGGTCATGTCGTGAAGATGGACCTCCGGCATCCATATGACTTTTTTGACGGTGATGAGTATGAAAAGTGGATAAATGCTTCTTTGGGAGGTAAGATAAATGCTTCTTTGTTGAGCTTGAAACATTTAAATTACCTGGACTTGAGCCTGAATTCGTTTGATAGCATTCAAATTCCTAAGTTCATTGGGGAGCTTAAAAGTTTGCAATATCTCAATCTCTCCTTTGCGTCATTTGGAGGAGAGATTCCCTCTTCTCTTGGTAACCTGTCAAGCCTAAATTTTCTTGATCTCGGGTCGAATCAAGGCTTATCTTCCAAAAATTTGAATTGGCTTTCTCACCTCACTTCCTTGAAATACATTAATCTCAATGGCATTAACCTGAACAGCACAGGAGTCAGTTGGGCATATGATATTAACATGCTTCCTTCATTGTTAGAGTTACATTTATCTTGGTGCCAAATTGAAAGCATTCCACTCTCACTGCAGAGCATTAACTTCCTTCCACTTTCACTACAGAGGATTAACTTCACATCACTGTTGGTCCTTGATATGTCGCATAATGGCATTAAAAGTTCTTCATTTCCCGGCTGGTTTTTTAATCTTACCAACCTCGTAACACTTGATCTATCCGAGAATGATTTCAGGGATTCTTTTCCAAGTGGATTTTCAAACTTCAAATCTCTGCAAAACCTTGATTTATCTGATACAGGCTTAAAAGGTCAAATTCCTAAAGTCAGTGGAGATTTGTGCAAGCTAAAAGTCTTAAGTCTTTCAGGGAACAACTTTGATGGGGGGATTCAAGAGTTTTGGAGGAGTCTCTCAAATTGTCCAAGTAATACATTAGAGTCACTAGATTTGTCTTATTGCCAGCTTAAAAGCCAATTGCCGGTCTTTTTAGGAATGTTCAAAAGTTTGCAGAATCTCATCCTTAGCGGAAACAATTTGTGGGGCTCAATTCCAGATTCCATCGGAAACTTGTCATCCTTGAGAACACTAGACCTCTATTCTAATAATTTGTGGGGCTCAATTCCAGATTCCATCGGAAACTTGTCATCCTTGAGAACACTAGACCTCTATTCTAATAATTTGTCGGGCTCAATTCCAAATTCCATCGGAAACTTGTCGTCCTTGAGAACACTAGAACTCAAAGATAATAAGATGAACGGCTCAATTCCAGAAAGTATTGGACAACTCTGTGAGCTAGTTTCCCTACTTCTGGTTGGTAATTCATGGGAAGGCATTCTAACGGAAGCCCATTTCATAAATCTTACCAGATTACAAGATTTTGAAGTAGGAAACGTAGACCGACCCACATCCCTCATTCTCGATGGGGCTTATGACAGGGTTCCTCCTTTCAAGCTCTTCACAATTTCTATCATAAATTGTCGGACAAGTCCTGGTTTTTGGGTATGGCTTCAAACTCAAACTGAACTGTCTGATGTTATCCTTCAGGGTAATGGAATCTCGGATTCCATACCTGAGGAATGGCTGTTGAAGATATCTTCCCAAACTAGGTATCTAGACTTGTCTTTCAACCACTTTCATGGAAACTTTCCATCCCAGTTGAAATTTCCAAATTTAACGATTATTGCTTTGAGTCATAATCAATTGGAGGGCCCTCTACCACTTTGGTGTTTCCCTAATGTCCTTTACCTTTTTCTTGAGGGCAATTTATTTTCCGGGCCAATCCCCTCAAATATTGACCAAATGATGCCCAAGTTGGAAGAATTGTTACTTGATGAGAATCATTTGAATGGCACTATTCCTCCCTCTATTTGTAACATGCAGGAGTTAAAAATCCTGTCTCTAAGGAGCAATCAGTTTTCTGGAGAACTCCCTCATGCATGGAATATGGAGAGCATTATGGTGTTTTTAGATGTCGGTCAAAACAATCTGTCTGGTAATATTCCCACTTCATTGGGGGTACTACATTCCTTGGAAATTTTAAAGCTCAACGACAACAATTTTGACGGTGAAATTCCTGATGCCTTGCAAAATTGTTCAAGCTTGAGGAGTATTGATCTTGGAGACAACAAGTTATCTGGGAAAATACCTCTATGGATAGGAGGGTCAAACGTATCTAAGTTGTCTAGGGTACGATTACGGTCCAACTATTTTAGTGGATGTATTTCCCATCAACTGTGCAATCTTCAAGGCCTTCACATCCTCGACCTTAGTCACAACAGCCTTTCAGGTACTATTCCCATGTGTTTGGATAACTTAACTTCGCTAATCAATGATGATTCTTATGCACACAGTTATGATGGGTATGAGCAAGCCACACTGACACTAAAAGGAGAAGAACTTGTGTACAACACAACTCTATATCTTGTAAAGAGCATTGATATTTCATCAAATAATTTAAAAGGTGAAATCCCTGAAGAAATAAGCAGCCTCATTATGTTGGGCACCTTGAATTTGTCCATGAATCAATTAATTGGAAAGATCCCTTCCAAGGTCGGAAACTTGCGTTGGCTTGAAACTCTTGATCTCTCACACAACCACCTTTCGGGACAGATTCCTCAAAGCTTGTCATCTTTAACCTCTTTGTCCCACCTGGACTTGTCTTACAACAACTTGTCTGGAAGAATTCCTACTGGAAACCAGCTTCAAACGCTCAATTTTTCGTCCATTTATGCGGGCAATCAATGGCTATGTGGCGTTCCTCTCTCAACTAAGTGCCCTGAAGATGGCACTTTTACTGCTAAGGATGCAAGGGACGAGAATGAAGATGGAAAGGATAAGTTGTGGCTCTATGTTAGTGTGGTACTTGGCTTTATCGTAGGCTTTTGGGGTGTTTGCGGCACATTGATCGTAAAAACATCGTGGAGGTATGCCTATTTTCAATTCTTCGATGACATCAAAGATAAAGTAGCACTAGCAATTGCATTGAAAGTGGCTCGTTTGAAAAAGTTTTTATTCTGAAGTTTAATTGTACTAATATATAATGTGATGCTTTTCCCTTTCAACTTTGTGTTTTGGCCAACTTATGTATTAAATAAAATAATATGTCAGTAAGTGTTTCCACAAACAATTATGTAACCGCTGTCCGTTTAATACAAGAATTCTATCTAGTTTGTACTTATGAATCGCATAATACAATCTGCCTATGTAATGTTGCAATTTAACAAAATAACATTACGAAGTAGATAAGCACACGTGTGTATTCTTCTCTTTTACACTTGAATGTCGTCCAACTCGGCGAGTGGTAGTCCACCTCTACCGCCTTCTCGATGCTGCCAAAACCATACAAAAATGGGAGGGAGACAAGGAGGAAGAATTGGTGGTTCGATATCGTCGAGGGTTTTCTGGGATTCCTGTTCCTTGCAGAGAGAGAGGTGGGAGAATTCGATGGCGTCTTCCGGGTTCCTGTCCCTTGCCGAGAGAGAGATGGGAGAGGTATTTTGGCGTCTGTTGCAGAGAGAGATTAGGGGGTGGGTCTAGGGTTTGCACAGAGGGTGGGTGGGCGATTCAATTGAGGGGCTAGGGCTAGAGGGATGGGGGCTCCATCTCTATTCTCGCTTGCTGAAACTTTCCGCTCTTCAGGTAATCTCTCAGTTGAAAGCTTCTAATTATTATTTTTTTTTTTCATTTGGGTATTTTTTTTCTTTGGATTTATGTATTTTTTTCCCCAGTGAATTCGAAATGAAATCAGAAAAACGGATTTAGTAAACAAATTGATGAAATTTTTATTTGCGTGCCCTGTTTTTGATTTGTTTGGTTCGGCTTTTAGAGAAATTTTTACTTGCTGGTACCCTTGATTTTCCAGTGACATTTGTGCAGCCTGCATTTAATCATATGATGATTTATATAAGCTTTTTCTTTGCTCTCTTTTTTCAAATCTTTCTAATTGTTTATGTGCAATTTTGTCGAGATTTCTGGGAGTTAATTTTGTTCAAAGACCAAGTATTGTTCTTCAATTAAGATTTCTGGGTTTTTTTTTTGTTGCTTCTTTTCTGTTAAATTACTCATCTGGATGTTAATTTAGTTCAAAAGCTAAGTATTGTTCTTCAATTAATCTTACAAGAAAGCATATGAGAACGTGGCACACTAGTGTTCGATGAAATGTGTCTGAGAATCTGTCAATATGATATATTATAATTTTGACTCTCCTCTTCAGCTCCGGCCCCAGGTGCGTGCAGGCGACGTGGACCTGGTCAACGATGTCTTCATTCACAGTTCCGGACGACAGTTCTGAACCTCTGGCGATTCCGACTGAGAAAGAGGTCAATAACAGCAAGGTAACGGAATTCAATGTTTTGTGTTTGTTATAGAGGCATTTTTGCAACAGTGTATCTGAGAATATTTCTAGATAGTCTGTCCAGATAGCTTAGAATGTGTTTCATGATGCATATGGCTGAAGCGGTTTTGGCTACATTTTGGATTGCTCATTAATTTTTTTGTTGAGCTTGGCTGGTACAAATACATATAAGAAAAGTACTATCCTGTTATCAACTTTTAGTTAGGTTCAAATTTAGAATGCATTTGTACTCATGAGGCATTGGGGTAGAGTGCCTGTGTTCTGTGTTTTGTTGTTATTTTTTCATCCTTTTAAATTTTGTTATGGATAAGTGATCACATTTATGAGTGTCAACCATTTATCCTCATTCATATTCAAATATAATATAATATCGATTTTGTAAGAACTTTTTGTCAATAATTTATGAATTTTTGTCAGTGAAACAATTTTCTAGCAGCATTTGATCGGATGCTAGTAATTTTTGTACTGCTGGATAATTATTTGTTTGTCTCAGCTAACAGAGTAAATATGGGGTTCTATACACAACATAATACGGAATTTAGCCGAGAAATTTCAAAACAAAGTTTAAACTTTTTGATATGGCTAAAAACAGATTCTCTTCTTTCTCGAAACCCTCACATTTGTCTTATGGTCAGGTTTTATGTGGTCACTTGTTTATGCTTGCGACAAGAATACAAGTCCAAGGATGCCTTGTTGAAAATATATGTGTCCCATGTGCTTCATCTTCTGCTGGTTAAACCAGAAATATAACCGTTGGATCATTTGCTAACAATTAGTAGATGATTAATTTCCCTTTTGTCGTAAATTATGGAACTTCCAGGAGTTTGAAGGGCTCTCAGGTCCAATGAGGAAGGATGTTTCACAAGTTCGTAAGAAAGATGGATGAGATTAAGAAAGAGTTATGGCAACTAGGACATACCTGCCAGAAGAAGGTAACACAACTTGGATTTTTACCACATTTTGGTGTTAATGTTTACTGCTATGCATATGCAATTATGGATAAATTCGTGCGGGTTCATGATGAATTTTGGGTTCGTAACTGGTCACAGGAAAGGAATACAGAGATGCACTTGAGGCTTTCAATGAAAAGAACAGAGAGAAAGTGCAGCTTATCACAAAGCTAATGGAGGTTAGTTTGTTAAACAATTTTTTACTTGGCATAGCTAGGGTAGCAATTTCATGGATGGTTTGAACTCGAGCCAGTCTGGCCAGTTTGGAGTTAGAGTGGGGGCGGTTGTGCCTGCTTTGACAAACTACCAATCCTACAAAATTTGGGCTTACCTCCGGTTAGGAGTTCAACCCGTCTAAACTCTCAACCGATTCAATGTTTTGAGATTGTTTTGTTGTGTTGTTACATTTGATGCAGCTGGTGAGTGGAAGTGGGAAGACGAGGATGAAGAAGCTGGAGGAGCTGAGCAAGAACATAGAATCTTTAAAGTGAAGAAATAGCAGCCTATGTGGGTAACTGATGATCTGATTAGGTTTGTGTGATGATGTGTATAAGGTGACGTTTTTCGATGTTTACATATATGGGTGGTGATTGGCATTTGGTGTAATTTCTAAGTTGGTTTGTTTCATTAATTAGTGTAAAACATTTGGCTGATTTAGGCAGGAAAATACCCTTTAAATTTATACGGGTTTGTAACTAAAAGCATCTGGCCTTGCATTTTCCTTGTCATTTTTCCATGTATCCACACACTGTACTACACTACTTCCTAGTGTAATGTGGGGTTCTTTGAATTTATTCCTATTCTTTGTTTTATTTTTTTATCGATTGCAAAGGCCATGATATTTATGTAATAATGTCAAGTTTTATGAGTGATTTTGGAACAAATGGAGTGTATTTTGTTCAATTTTTCGTTAGTACTCCGCTCTATACGGAATGATTGCTTTTTCTATATGAAAGCCCACTTCATAAATCTTTCCAGATTACAAGATTTTAAAGTAGGAAATATAAACCGACCCATGTCCTTCATTTTCGACAGGGCTTCTGATTCGGTTCCTCCTTTCAAGCTCAAACTGAACTGTCTGATGTTATTCTTAGAGGTAATGGAATCTCGGATTCCATACCAGGGGAATGGTTGTTGAAGATATCTTCCCAACTCACCCGACTATACTTACCTTACAATCAATTTCGTGGAAACTTTCCATCCCATTTGAAATGGCCAAATCTAACGTTTATTAATTTAAGTCATAATCAGTAGGAGGGCCCATTCCTACTTCGATGGGCCGCTAATGTACTTGCCCTTTATCTTAAAAGTAATTTACTTTCCGGGCCAATCCCCTCAAATATTGACCAAATGATGCCCGAGTTGCAAATATTGTCACTTAATGAAAATCATTTGAATGGCACTATTCCTCCCTCTATTTGTAACATGCATGAGTTGCAAATGCTGTCTCTAAGGAGCAATCAATTTTCTGGAGAACTCCCTCATGCATGGAGTGTGGAGAGCATAATGGCGTTTCTAGATGTTGGTCAAAACAATCTCTCTGGTAAGATTCCCACTTCATTGGGGGTACTAAGTATGCTGGAACTATTAAAGCTCAACAACAACAATTTTGATGGTGAAATTCATGATGCCTTGCAAAATTGTTCATGGTTGAGAAGTATTGATTATGGAGACAACAAGTTATCTGGGAAAATACCTCTATGGATAGGAGGGTCAAACGTATCTAAGTTGTCTAGGCTACGATTACGGTCTAACTATTTTAGTGGACATATTTCCCAACAACTGTGCAATCTTCATGACTTTGGCATCCTCGACCTTAGTCAAAACAACCTTTCAGGTACTATTCCAATGTGTGTGGGTAACTTAAAATCTCTGGTCAATGATAGTTATGATCAATACTCCTATGATGGGGTTGAGCAAGCCACACTGACTGTAAAATGAGAAGAACTTGTGTATAATAGCACTCTATATCTTGTAAAGAGCATTGATCGTTCATCAAATAATTTACAAGGTGAAATCCTGGAAGAAATAAGCAGCCTCATTCTATTGGGAACCATGAATTTGTCCATGAATAAATTGAGTGGAAAGATCCCCTCCGAGGTTGGAAATTTGCGTTGGCTCGAAACTCTTAATCTCTCACACAACCACCTTTTGGGACAGGTTCCTCAAAGCTTGTCATCTTTAACCTTTTTGGCCCACTTGAAATTATCTTACAGCAACTTGTCCGAAAGAATTCCTTCTGGAAACCAACTTCAAACGCTCAATGTTACATCCATTTATATGGGCAATACATGGCTATGTGGCGTTCCTCTCTCAACTAAGTGCCCTGAAGATGACTCTTTTGCTGCTAAGGATGCAAAGGACAAGAATGAAGATGGAAATGATAAGTTGTGGCTCTATGTCAGCGTGGTACTTGGCTTTATCGTAGGCTTATGGGACGTTTGCGGCACATTGATCTTAAAGACATCGTGGAGCTATGCCTATTTTCAATTCTTCGATGGCATCAAAGATAAGGTAGCACTAGTAATTGCATTGAAAATGGCTCATTTCAAAAGGTTTTTATTCTGAAGTTTGATTGTGCTAATATATAATGTGATGTTTTTTCCTTTCTACTTTGTGTTTTGGTACCTACAACTTATGTATTAAATAAAAGAATCTTTCAGTAAGTGTTCCCACAAACAATTATGTAACGGCTGTCCATTTAATACAAGAATTCTATCCAGTTTGTACTTATCAATTGCATAATACAAAATATATATGCAACGTTTATCTGTGTAATAAGATGTGTGAATAGCACATCCTTTAACAAACTAACATTATGAACTAGGTAAGCACATGTATGTATTCTTTCCTTTTACACTTGATGTCGTTGAAAACGGCCAGTGGTGTGTAGAATTATCAGAGAGACGAGTCATACGATCCACTTCCAACAATATCAATATTGTCCCTAACTTGATAATTACCACATGCACAATCCGTCGGATGTGGGATTTTATCATAAAAGGCCTCGGTATTAGTTGGTGAGGTTAAGATATTTAAACTCTTATTTTCTCATTGATGTGAGATATTTTCACACGCCCTTTCACGTGGGACCTAATTAATGGATCACACGTGAGAGATCCACACATCGACAATCATGTGGAGCCAAGGGAACTTATCCTACATGCAGGGTCAAGGGAACCACCATCATCGCGTGGGCCCAAGGGGACCCACCCATCACGTGGCAGTACAGTACGTCCTGACTATCTGGCTCTGATACCATGTAGAATTATTAGAGAGACGAGCCATACGTCCCACTTCCAACAATACCGATATTATCCCCAACTTGGTAATTACCGCTGCATAATCCGTGAAGTGTGAGATTTTATCACAAAAAATCTCAATACTAGTTAGAATAAGATTAAGATATGTAAACTCTTATTTTCTCGTTAATATGGAACATTCCCACACCTTTCGATGCTGCAAAAGCATACAAAAATGGGAGGGAGACAAGGAGGAAGAATTGGTGTTTCGATATCGTCGAGGGTTTTCTGGGATTCCTGTTCCTTGCAGAGAGAGAGGTGGGAGAATTCGATGGCGTCTTCTGGGTTCCCGTCCCTTGCCGAGAGGGAGATGGGAGATGTATGGGGTGAAGGAGAGGCTTTTCTTCCATTTCTGCGATGCTGCAAAACCATACAAAATAGGAGGGAGACAAAGAGGAAGAAGAAGGAGAAGAAGTTGAACCCTTGAACTGGGAAAAGGAACGAACTTGTAGAGGCGATTGAATTGGGTTTGAAGATTTGAGGGTTTTTTGGCGCCTGTTGCAGAGAGAGTTTAGGGGGTGGGTCTAGGGTTTGCAAAGAGCGATTCAAGTGAGGGGCTAGGGCTAGAGGGATGGGGGCTCCATCTCTGTTCTCGCTTGCTGAAACTTTCCGCTCTTCAGGTAATTTCTCGGTTGAAAGCTTCTAATTAATTTTTTTCATTTGGGTATTTTTTTTTTCTATGGATTTATGTATTTTTTCCCCCAGTGAATTCGAAATGAAATCAGAATAACGGATTTAGTTAACAAATTGATGAAATTTTTATTTGCGTGCCCTGTTTTTGATTTGTTTGGTTTGGCTTTTAGAGAATAAAGTAGCTTGCTGCTACCCTTGATTTTCCAGTGACATATGATGATTTATATAAGCTTTTTCTTTGCTCTCTTTTTTCGCATCTTTCTAATTGTTTATGTGCAAATGGGGTTGAACGTATTAATGAGTGGTTGTGTTGTTTGCAGCGAGCTCCGTTCAACGTAATTTCAGTTCTTGAAGACAATTTTTTCAAGATTTCTGGGTTTCTTTTTGCTTCTTCTCTGTTAAATTACTCATCTGGAAGTTAATTTTGTTGAAAGACCAAGTATTGTTCTTTAATTAAGATTTCTGGGTTCTTTTTGTTGCTTCTTTTCTGTTAAATTACTCATCTGGATGTTAATTTAGTTCAAAAACTAAGTACTGTTCGTCAATTAATCTTACAAGAAAGCATATGAGAACGTGGCACACTAGTGTTCGATGAAATGTGTCTGAGAATCTATCAATATGATATATTATAATTCTGACTCTCCTCTTCAGCCCCGGCCGCAGGTGCATGAAGGCGACGTGGTCCTGGTCGACGGTGTCTCCCTTTACAGTTCTGGACGAAGGTTCTGAACCTCTGGCGATTCCGACTGAGAGAGAGGTCAATAACAACAAGGTAACGGAATTGACTGTTTTGTGTTTGTTATAGAGTCATATTTGCAACAGTATATCAGCGAATATTTCTAGATAGTCTGTCCAAATAGCTTAGAATGTGTTTCATGATGCATATGGCTGAAGCGGTTTTGGCTACTCTTTGGATTGCTCATTAATGGAAAGTGATCACATTTATGAGTGTCAACCATTTATCCTCATTCATATTCAAATGTAATATAATATCGATTTTGTAAGCATTTTTTTGTCAATAATTTATGAATTTTTGTCAGTGAAACAATTTTCTAGCAGCATTTGGTCGGACGCTAATAATTTTTGTACTGCTGGATAATTATTTGTTTGTCTCTGCTAACAGAGTAAATCTGGGGTTCTGTACACAATAAAATATGGAATTTAGCCAAGAAATTTCAACAACAAAGTTTAAACTTTTTGATATGGCAAAACACAGATTCTCTTGTTTCTCAAAACCCTCAAATTTGTCAGATGGTCAGGTTAGGTTTTATTTGATCACTTGTTTATGTTTGCAACAAGAATATAAGTCAGTATGATATATTATCATTCTGAATCTCCTCTTCAGCTCCGGCCACAGTTGTGTGAAGGTGACATGGTCCTGGTCGACGGTTCGGAAGCTGTGGCGATTCTGACTGAGAAAGAGGTCAATAACAACAAGGTAATGAAATTCAATGTTTTGTGTTTGATATAGAGGCATATTTGCAACTTTGTATCAGATAATATTTCTGGATAGTCTGTCCAGATAGCTTAGAATGTTTCTGCTCTTCTGCTTGGTGGGTTTTGTTTGTTTTTTTCAGAAGATATGTGCAATTCTGTCTATTGTTCCTGAAATGTTTGTGTCTCAATGATGATTTCCTGATTCAGAAGGCTTACCTGCATAACAAAAGAGTTCATTTTTGATAAAAATGTAAATATTTGGCGTTTTAAAGGCTCATGAATTTTCTAAATAATCTCACACAACCCTAAACACTAGAAAGTAGAAACACCATACCTCTCTCTTTGTTTGGGTGAACGTTCACATCAACATGTTCAGGTGGTAACATAATTGACATGTATATGAAGGGTTTTGATGCTTTTGGCAATGTTGCAGCATAAACAACTTCTAGAGCTCTCTTCAGATCACTGCAATCTACCGATCTATCTGTGGTTTGAAAGAAAAACGAATAAGAAAACATATCAATGATGTAATTCTGACATCAGCATGTTAAAACAAAATTAGGGGACTACTATAAATAGCCTCCAAGGCGTGAAATTAGAGAACTGTCACCTACGATTTACTATAATTGGAATCGGAGATAAAGCCGTCCATCTGAAAAACTGAGCTAGAAGGATCTTTATCTGAAGCTTCCATTTCATCAGACTGCGAGCAACAGACACCCCCGTACACCGATCGAATTGCATCAATCCTTGATGCTGTGGAAACAGAATTAACATCTGCTCCAGCAGCTCCATGCTGACAGTTATAGCATACATAAAGATTTTAATCGGGATTTTGAATTTCTAGCCATGAAAAAGATCGGTGAAGTAGACAGACAAGTTCCGTAGTGAATGAAACAGCAACCTACCTTTCTGCAGGAGGAGCTAACATTCATATGATGAATTACAAACCGGCTTAGCAAATCTACAATCTTTGATAATCATCAGCAGAATCTGATAACAATACCACCGCTTAATTCACCAGTAAAGATAATTTCATCCCATTAAACCAAAACATAGAAAGTAATTCATCACATTCATTGGGAAAATTTTAAAGTTAAACTGCTCTAATTGTTACCCTGAACCCACAAAATTCTAATTATTTCAAAACTAATTATCACTCAGATTAAAATGAAAAGGCCATTTCTTTCTATGAACAAATCATATAATTTTTTGGGAATTTCATCAAACAGGTAATGGGCACGCACCTATAATCATGCAACTGGCCTTTGGTAATGGTGGTGACGGTGACGTGAGCTACGTATGTCATGCTGGCAAGTGCTTCTCCTCTGAACCCCATCGACTTTATCGACTGCAAGTCCTCAAACGCCGAGGGTTGCCGCTCACACGGTATCGGCAGGTCCTCATACTGCAATGAATCGTAAATTCGTAAATAAATTTAGAAATAATTCAAAATTTAATAAAATGGAATAAATGAGTGCAGAAGGGACTGACGCGTATGCCTTGGCCGTCGTCGGAGACTTGGATGAGTTTGAGGCCGCCGTCCTTGACGACGACGTTGATGGAGGAGGAGCGGGCGTCGAGGCTGTTCTCGACGAGCTCTTTGACGGCGGAGACAGGGCGTTGGATGACCTCGCCGGCAGCGATTCGGTTCACCAGAGACTCTTCTAGGAGGTGAATTTTGGGAGGCTCCGTCGCGACTTGCTCTTCTTCTGCTTCAATTTCCATTTCCGTTGCACTGCCAAAATTTCTATTTTCGTTTGGAAGCGCCAAATTTTCCCGGCACCGTCAAAATGAAGAAGAAACGAGTTATTTATTATTATTATTATTATTTTTTTTTTTGGTTCAATAGATGAGAGTAAAATTAGGTTAAGAATTGCGTTGCCATTTAATATTACAGTGAATAGTATTTTTCTTTATTTATAAGTGAGAAATTTTAGATTCGATTATTACCAATAACAAATTTAAACTAGGTTATTATGGCTAGATCAATGTGAGACTTCATTCTTCTACTTGTTTGTTCAAAAATGAAAGAATCACATTACGAAAATATACATAAGTGTACTAACAGTGAAAGAGGTATATTTGAGATATAAAAATTATATTTACATTTCATAAGTTTTTGGTAATAAAGGCTTAAAGTTTTTAATAGCATCTATGGTAGACAAAAAGAACACTAAAAAATGTCGACAAGAGGCAAGAGTTTGGTCAAGATAACCTACAAAACACGATAAACTCGAATTACTCTATTCATTAGCCACAAAATTTCATCTTTGAATAAACACGATAAAGTTCACAACTTTAAATTATGTGTAAAAATTCGTCAAAAGTGTGCACTAATTCACCAAGAGTGTAGTTGTTGCTCGCACCTACAATTATAAGATATCTAAATGCGAATTTTCTCAATTATAGGTTAAATAAATGATTTGAAGCTCGCCTTCACGGTAAATAAATAAATAAATGAGTAATTCTCCTTTTATTGTTCTAAAATTTTTAAAAATTTGATCATTTTTCATACAAGTTTAATTTTTTTGGCACTTTTGTACTTCCGTTTGTTTGTTTTATCAAATGCTTTGTTAATTAATAAAGTGCCATGGCTTTAGTTGACGATGCTGTCATGTCATCAATTAACAAAAATATTAATGATCAGGTTAACAAAAGTTAGGTTTTTACCTAAAACTTGTAACCTCGCAAAGGAATTTCATTACATCCCACACTAAATGAGATTCTGTTGATGTACGAGTTAAATTACGAACATGGCCTGTGAGATTTTATCTTCAAAGGCACCGGTTCGAGTACTAGTAAAACCACCTTCTTCTTTTTGCAAGTAATAGTGGATTACTCACACTACTACAAAATTAGCTTAATGTGTTCGAGAGTGGTGGCGGTTTATACGATATAGTGCTGAATAAAAGGTAAAGAAAAGGTTTTTTTTTTTTTTTTTTTTGGGGGGGGGGGGGGGGGGGTTGGGGGGGTGTTGTTGATCTAGAGTTTGCTTGTGTACGGATTGGTGAGGGAAGAGAAATAAGGTTGAGAGGGAGTTTGTGTTCAGAGGAAATGAGTTGTATGTGGAGTCTGAGATTGATGAAATTACCAGTTTCTCAAGTGCTCCAAGGGCATGTCAATGGATGGGAGTAGGATTTTCTCCCCTTCTATCACTACAAAATAAAATGTCATTAGCGAAGGTCAAATGCCGTCGAAAAAAGCATTTTTCCGTCACAAATACTTATTGCCGCAAATAGTAGGTCATACTCACTTGGATTGCCAATCGCCTCTCTATTGTCTCTTCCAATCCCTTTCATCAAGTATGATATATGAATTTCCACGGCTATCCATAAGGATTCCACCAAAGACTAATTGGTGTGCCAAGACTTCCACGGCTAGCCATCTCATTCATGCATTCACTATATCTGCTCCTACACGGCTTCATTAAAATTTGGAAAAGTCCATAGGAAATCTCGTGTATTCCTTATTAGTGAAAAACAAATAAGAAAGCAACGAGTGTAACAATGACTATTTTAGACTGTTAACAACAATTTCACCGTTTAGAAAATTTGTAAATAATGACACAATAGTCATATCCAAGTAGTGACTACCAGTCTACCAGCATGTGTGGTGTAGGCGATGGACTTGCAAACTTGTTCAACCCGACAAAGCTAAATCCGTTTTCGTAATTTCCCATAAGAAAAGAACAGTAAATAAGATGATAAGTTGTGAATTGTGATGGAACATGAAGACCCTTAATTCAAAGTCTCTGCTGCATATGGATTTCTACAACCTGTCACAACCAGGTACCAGCTGTGTCGACAAAGGACTTGCAAACTTGAAAAAGGGGTTGTGAACATCCGCCACTCATTTCGTTTTCCAATAAATCGGTTTTTTAACATAGGGAATTTAGGCCACTTAGTACTACAGTCTATTGGTATTCCTTTTCACTTGTAAGTGAGAGGTCTTAGGTTCAATTCTCTTCCAAGGTGAGTTTGAACCACATTATTACTATCCCATTGTGAGGCTAAACCCACCCCCTTCCTTTAGTGTAGATAATATCAATTGTTAAAAAATAAATAAATAAATAAATAAAAAGGACATAGGGAATTTGGAATTTAAAGGAAAACAAGAAACAAGACTAAATTCAAAACAGGAAATAAAGCAAATCCTAATTGAAAGATGCGAACCTAAATACATAAGAGCAAGGAAAGCTAAATATATTCCCACAATTTCCGCTAAATCAGACAATGAGCAACCTAATTTAGTATCAAATTTGTCATTCACAAGATTCGAACCTAAAACTTCTCACTTACAAATGAAGAGGAATACAACCAGACCGTAGTACTTCAGTGGTAAAAGAAAAAGTACTTAACAGCTTCACAATTAGCAAAACCTTTTCACATCTCTCTCCCTCTCGTGCGTACCATAGTCAATACCGACAACGGTTACACAATATATGTTATACATACTATTTGGATATGTTCTAGTTTGTTTCAGTAATTTTTCCTTGATGAAGAGTCTTTCGTTTGCTTTCTATTATGTTACTAGTTGCATGGAAGAGTGCATTTTGCTCGCTATCCTTCAATGGTCATGACCATTATCATTTACCACTTATATTAATTGCGATTGAATTAGTTTAAGTTTTGAGATTTAAGTAGTAAATAAATCTGATCACATTCATCAACAATAATTCATGTGGCGGTAAATGCACATAAAAATACACTTTAAGTAGAAAAACTAGGGTTAGAAGAAAACCATTTTATTGAATCTCGTGCAATCATTAAAATCAGTGGCAAAGCTAGCATGAGGTCATTGGTTACCATTGACCCTAATAACTTAAAATACTTCATGTAAATTTGTTTGTGTATTGTATATGACCCTTATAAACAGTTAATGCAAACTAAATTACAATCTCCTTCTTCTGCTTGTTCTATCACATTTGTCTTCATTTTCTCTTTTCTTGTGCAATCTATTGTGCGCACCATGTGCTCGATGAAATACCTTAGTTAAAAAAGCCTTGGCAACCTTCAGTATTACTCCACAGTATCATGCACCCACCCTCTAAAAGCTACAAACAATAGTAGTTGTTGACACATGTTGACATAAACTTTCAACATATGTTGACAGGAATTGGCAAATACCTACTAGGTGCTCGATGAAATAGCTCAATGAAGCTTTTTTTAGTTGATATTATGACCCTATTATTTAAAAATCCTAACTTCGCCACTGATTGCAACACAATGCAATTGTCAAAAATTCTATACTTTATCGATGTATCGGATAGCTGATTACAACATATGGATTTTCCACCAAAGACTAATCGGTGCGCAAAGACTTCCACTGATTACAACATATGGATTTTCCACCAAAGACTAATCGTTGTGCAAAGACTTCCACAAGTAGCTAGCCATCTCATTCATGCATTCATAATATCTGCTCCTACACAACTTGCAAACTTTTAAATATCCAATTAGTGACTACCAGTCTACCAGCATGTGTGGCGTAAAATATAAGAACATATTTATATCGGTTTTCGTAAGTAAGTTGATAAGTTGTGAATTGTGATGGAACATGAAGACCCTTAATTCAAAGTTTTCGCTGCATATGGATTTCCCCAACCCATCACAACCAGGTGTGTCGACAAGGGACCTGAAGACTTGTGATGGAACATGAAGACCCTTAATTTTTTTCATTTGGGTGATTTTTTTCAAGTTGTGAATTGTGATGGAACATGAAGACCTGAAGACTTGCAAACTTGTAAATATCCAAGTTGTGAATTGTGATGGAACCTGAAGACTTGCAAAATTTTTTGCATTGTACGCATACATAATGAAATTTATGTTGTAATTTTTTTTTGATAAGAAACAGATGTAAATTAGAATCATACTACTATAGGTATGCTATATACATTAATTTGATAGTACCATAAATTCAGATTAATCTTTAGTGTCATTAAAAAATATACATAAATTTGGGGGACTGTTATTTAGTACAGCCAATATGGTGCTGTTCAGGTGTTTTTGACTAATCTATGCAGTTTTTCAATTCGTCTGGGGTATTTGTGATTTTGAACGACACTAGAAAAATTTATGGGTTATAGGAACCGCGGGGTTAAGAAAATGAATCCAAATTCAGAGCTGTGTTCTTCTTCCCTCAAAATAAGAAGAAAACGTTTCCTCAACTCCATATTTTGGCACCTCAGGTATATTTGTGTTCTAAAGCCTTTTACTTCTTCCAATTTCTTTAGAGCTATTATTTTACCCATATGTGATTTGTAAAGTGGAAGATTGGATATCATATGTCTGAGTATTTAGGGTTTTGTTCCATGCAAACTTGAGCTTATTGATCCAAATGGCTAGAACAGTGTACTCAACCAATTTCATATCCTCTTAGGCTAATGCGAGTATATTACTTGCCAATGAGAAATATACTTCATATATAGCCATGTGATGATGTGTGACATGCTTTAATTAGGGATATTTTTGTGTAGTAAGAAAGCCATAGAGAGAGAGTCACAATTTTGTTTTTTTTTTTTTTTTGCATTTGGTTACTGTAGTGATTACGCAATGAAAGCAGAGGACAAACAAATGATACATGTAGTTGGGAATTTGTGAGTTACATGCAAAGCACATGGAAAGTAAGCTTTTGTAATGTATCTAATGGCATAGTGCAAAGAGTTGTCCATCTAATGTCTAATGCCATGGTTTTGCAAAACTATGATCAATTTACATGAAATGAAGATAAATTGGTTATTTTTCAACTTTTTTTTTTTTTTGAATTTTTGGTTTATGTATTTTACGAAGGCCATGAACTCTGATGGAAGTAATTCCCTTTTTTTTAACTAATTTCCAGAATTTTTGTAAATCTGGGGTTCTGTGCACAACAAAATATGGAATTTCAACAACAAAGTTTAAACATTTTGATATGGCCAAAAACAGATTCTTCTTCTTTCTCAAAACCCTCAAATTTGTCATATGGCCAAGTTTTATTTGGTCACTTGTTTATATTTGCGACAAGAGTATAAGTCCAAGGATGCCTTGTTGAAAACATCTGTGTCCCATGTGTATCATCTTCTGCTGGTTAAACCAGAAATATAGCCGTTGAATCAGTTGCGAGCAATTAGTAGATGATTAATTTTCTTTTTGTCGTAAATTATGGAACTTCAAGGAGCTTGAAGGGCTCTCAGATCAGACGAGGAAGGATGTTTCACAAGTTCTTACGAAGATCGATGCGATTAACAAAGAGTTAAAGCCACTAGGACATACCTGCCAGAAGAAGGTAACACAACTGGGGTTTTACCCTATTCTGATGTCAATGCTTACTGCTATGCATATGCAATTATGGATCAATTCGTGCGTGTTCATGATGAATGTTAGGAGTCCAAACTCTCAACCGATGCTGGTTATCTCTCATTCTATTTAGTAAAAGTGTAGAAAGTGTTTATATAATTCAACGTTTTGAGATTGTTTTGTTACAGTGAAAGTGAAAGTGAAAGTGAGAAGATGAGGATGAAGAAGCTGAGAGCAAGAACATGGATTTGTTACAGTGAAGAAGTAGCAGCCTATGTGGGTAACTGATGATCTGATTAGGTTTGTGTGATGATGTGTATAAGGTGACGTTTTTCGATGTTTACATATATGGGTGGTGGTGATTGGCATTTGGTGTAATTTCTAAGTTGGTTTGTTTCATTAATTAGTGTTTGGTAAAAACATTTGGCTGATTTAGGCAGGAAAAGACCCTATAAGTTTAAACAAGTTTGTAACTAAAAGCATGTGGCCTTGCATTTTCCTTCTGATTTTTCCATGTATCCAATGATATTTATGTAATAATGTAAAGTTTTATGAGGGATTTTGGGACAAATGGAGTGTATTTTGATCATTTTTTTTCAGTACTGCGCACTATATACGGAATGATTACATTTTCTATCATTTCGTAGATTCTTCACCTAACACCAAAAAGTAATGAGTGTTATTATGTCCACAATGTCGTCTAATTTTTCACCCACTTTTGAATGAAAGTTTTAGTGACAAGTTTATTCTATTGCAAGACTACATGGAAGGACATAAGCAAAATATAAAGAAAGTGTTTTCATTTGGGAACTGGAGTGGATTTAAGGAACATTTCTTGGTATAGATGCAAATAGTGGGAAAAAGGGAACGAATCACATCCCTTCCTCTAGTCGGGTCAAACGATAAGAACCCCCTAAAAGATGCAAATAGAGTTAGGGATTAGAGCTTCTGTCTTTGTCCATCTCTTTTGCAATTTCGTAAATGCATGCGAATCAGTGAACATATTAATAGATAAATTAGTTGATAATATAGCTAGTATTTAAAAAAAAAAAATACCGCAAATATTAAGTCATGCTCACTTGCATTGCCAATTGCCACTCTCTTTTCTCTTCCAATCCCCTTCATCAATTATATTTATGAATTTCCACCGCTAGCCATATGGATTTTCCACCAAAGACTAATCGGTGTGCAAAGACTTCCACATGCAGACCCTTAATTCCAGTCAACCAGCATGTGTGGTGTAAAATATAACAACATATCCAAATCTGTTTTTCGTAAGCAAGTTGATAAGTTGTGAATTGTGATGGAACATGAAGACCCTTAATTCAACAACCCATCACAATCAAGTACCAGCTGTGTCGACAAGGGACCTGCAAACTTGTAAAAGGGGTTGTGAACACCCACCACTCATTTCAGTTACCCTTTTTTCTTTTCTCCATCCGACGACTTTCGTTTTCAGCTCTCCTACCTACATCGATAATCTTTTCCTATAAATTCGATATCGTACTAATTTTAGTAGCTAAACATCTCACCAACAAAGCAAAAAAAAATTGTGTGTAATAATGGATAGCCATTGTCACCTCAGTATTGCTCACTATTTGCTTCTTTTGCTTTTGGTCTCTTTCTGCATGCAGAGTACTACTAAACTCTGTTTCTGTTTAGCTGGTGACGAAATTTCAAGCAGTGTGAAGACAAATTCATGCATTGAGGAAGAAAGACAAGCGCTTCTCGTCTTTAAACAACATTTTGTTGATCATTCTGGTAGGCTTTCGTCTTGGGTGGGTCATGATTGCTGCCAATGGGAAGGTATTTCATGCAACAACAGCACTGGTCACGTCGTGAAGATGGACCTCCGGAATCTATATGACTTTTCTGACGATGATGAGTATGAAGAGAGGAGATATGCTTCTTTGGGAGGTAAGATAAATGCTTCTCTGTTGAGCTTGAAACATTTAAATTACCTGGACTTGAGCCTGAATTCGTTTGATAGCATTCAAATTCCTAAGTTCATTGGGGAGCTTAAAAGTTTGCAATATCTCAATCTCTCATTTGCATCATTTAGAGGAGAGATTCCCTCTTCTCTTGGTAACCTGTCAAGCCTAAATTTTCTTGATCTCGGGTTGAGTTATAACTTATCTTCCAAAAATTTGAATTGGCTTTCTCACCTCTCTTCCCTGAAATACATTAATCTCAATGGCGTTGATCTTAGCAGCACAGGAGTCAGTTGGGCATATGATATTAACATGCTTCCTTCATTGTTAGAGCTACATTTATCTTCGTGCCAAATTGAAAGCATTCCACTCTCACTGCAGAGCATTAACTTCCTTCCACTTTCACTACAGAGGATTAACTTCACATCACTGTTGGTCCTTGATATGTCGTATAATGGCATTAAAAGTTCTTCATTTCCCGGCTGGTTTTTTAATCTTACCAACCTCGTATCACTTGATCTATCTAGGAATGATTTCGGGGATTCTTTTCCAAGTGAATTTTCAAACTTCAAATCTCTGGAAAATCTTTATTTATCTGACACAGGCTTAAAAGGTCAAATTCCTAAAGTCAGTGGAAATTTGTGCAAGCTAAAAGTCTTAAGTCTTTCATGGAACAACTTTGATGGGGGGATTGAAGAGTTTTGTAGGAGTCTCTCAAATTGTCCAAGTAATACATTAGAGTCACTAGATTTGTCTAATTGTGAGCTTGAAGGCCAATTGCCGGTCTTTTTAGGAATGTTTAAAAGTTTGCAGAATCTCAACCTTAGAGAAAACAATTTGTGGGGCTCAATTCCAGATTCCATCGGAAACTTGTCGTCCTTGAAAACACTAGACCTCAGTTATAATAAGATGAACGGCTCAATTCCAGAAAGTATTGGACAGCTCTGTGAGCTAGTTTCCCTACTTCTGTTTAGTAATTCATGGGAAGGCATTCTAACGGAAGCCCATTTCATAAATCTTACCAGATTACAAGTTTTTGGAGTAGGAAATATAGACCGACCTATGTCCCTCAGTCTGGACGGGGCTTATGACAGGGTTCCTCCTTTCAAGCTCTTCACAATTTATATCATAAATTGTCGGATAAGTCCTGGTTTTTGGGTATGGCTTCAAACTCAAACTGAACTGTCTAATGTTATGCTTCTGGGTAATGGAATCTCGGATTCCATACCAGAGGAATGGTTGTTGAAGATATCTTCCCAACTTAGCGATCTATACTTGTCTTCCAACCACTTTCATGGAAACTTTCCATCCCATTTGAAATTTCCAAATTCAATGTTTATTGATTTGAGTCATAATCAGTTGGAGGGCCCTCTACCACTTTGGTGTTTCCCTAATGTCTATTCCCTTTATCTAGAAGGCAATTTATTTTCTGGGCCAATCCCCTCAAATATTGACCAAATGATGCCCAAGTTGGAAGAATTGTTACTTCATGAGAATCATTTGAATGGCACTATTCCTCCATCTATTTGTAAGATGCAGAAGTTAAAAATCCTGTCTCTAAGGAGCAATCAGTTTTCGGGAGAACTCCCTCATGCATGGAATATGGAGAGCATTATGGTGTTTTTAGATGTTGGTCAAAACAATCTGTCTGGTAAGATTCCCACTTCATTGGGGGTACTACGTTCCCTGGAAATTTTAAAGCTCAACGACAACAATTTTGGCGGTGAAATTCCTGATGCCTTGCAAAATTGTTCAAGTTTGAGGAGTATTGATCTTGGAGACAACAAGTTATCTGGGAAAATACCTCTATGGATAGGAGGGTCAAACGTATCTAAGTTGTCTAGGCTACGATTACGGTCCAACTATTTTAGTGGATGTATTTCCCAGCAACTGTGCAATCTTCAAGGCCTTCACATCCTCGACCTTAGTCACAACAGCCTTTCAGGTACTATTCCCATGTGTTTGGATAACTTAACTTCGCTAGTCAATGATGATCCTTATGAAGAATATTATAATGGGTATGAGCAAGCCACACTGACACTAAAAGGAGAAGAACTTGTGTACAACACAACTCTGTATCTTGTAAAGAGCATTGATCTTTCATCAAATAATTTAAAAGGTGAAATCCCTGAAGAAATAAGCAGCCTCATTATGTTGGGCACCTTGAATTTGTCCATGAATCAATTAATTGGAAAGATTCCTTCCAAGGTCGGAAACTTGCGTTGGCTCGAAACTCTTGATCTCTCACACAACCACCTTTCGGGACAAATTCCTCAAAGCTTGTCATCTTTAACCTCTTTGTCCCACCTAGACTTGTCTTACAACAACTTGGTTGGAAGATTTCCTACTGGAAACCAACTTCAAACGCTCAATTTTTCGTCCATTTATGTGGGCAATCAATGGTTATGTGGAGTTCCTCTCTCAACTAAGTGCCCTGAAGATGACACTTTTATTGCTAAGGATGCAAAGGAGGAGAATGAAGATGGAAAGGATAAGTTGTGGCTCTATGTCAGCGTGGTATTTGGCTTTATCGTAGGCTTTTGGGGCGTTTGCGGCACATTGATCTTAAAGACATCGTGGAGGTATGCCTATTTTCAATTCTTCGATGACATCAAAGATAAGGTAGCACTGGCAATTGCATTGAAAATGGCTCGTTTCAAAATGTTTTTATTTTGAAGTTGGATTGTGCTAATATATAATGTGATGTTTTTCTCTTTTTACTTTGTGTTTTGGTATTTGCAACTTATGTATTAAATAAAAAAATGTTTCAGTAAGTGTTCCCACAAACAATTATGTAACGGTTATCCATTTAATACAAGAACTCTATCTAGTTTGTACTTATGAATCGCATAATACAATCTACCTATGGAATGTTGCAATTTAACAAAATAACATTACGAAGTAGATAAGTACACTTGTGTATTCTTCTCTTTTACACATGAATGTCATCCAACTCGGCGAGTGGTAGTCCACCTCTACCGCCTTCTCGATGCTGCCAAAACCATACAAAAATGGGTGGAAGAATTGGTGGTTCGATATCGTCGAGGGTTTTCTGGGATTCCTGTTCCTTGCAGAGAGAGAGAGGTGGAAGAAGAAGGAGAAGAAGTTGAACCCTTGAATTGGGAAAAGGAACGAACTTCTAGAGGCGATTGAATTGGTTTTGAAGATTTGAGGTTTCTTGGCGTCCGTTGCAGAGAGAGATTAGGGGGTTTGCACAGAGGGTGGGTGGGCGATTCAAGTGAGGGGCTAGAAGGATGGGGGCTCCATCTCTATTCTCGCTTGCTGAAACTTTCCGCTCTTCAGGTAATCTCTCAGTTGAAAGCTTCTAATTATTTTTTTTTCATTTGGGTTTTTTTTTCTTTGGATTTATGTATTTTTTTTTTCCCCAGTGAATTCGACATGAAATCAGACAAACGGATTTAGTAAACAAATTGATGAAATTTTTATTTGCGTGCCCTGTTTTTGATTTGTTTGGTTTGGCTTTTAGAGAAATTTGCTGCTACCCTTGATTTTCCAGTGACATTTGTGCAGCCTGCATTTAATCATATGATGATTTATATAAGCTTTTTCAAATCTTTCAAATTGTTTATGTGCAAATGGGGTTGAACGTGTTAATGAGTGGTTGTGTTGTTTGCAGCGAGCTCCGTTCAAGGTAATTTCATTTCTTATAGACAATTTTGTCAAGATTTCTGGGTTTCTTTTTGCTTCTTCTCTGCTAACTTACTCATCTGGAAGTTAATTTTGTTCAAAGACCAAGTATTGTTCTTCAATTAAGATTTCTGGGTGTTTTTTTTAAGGAAAACTAATGAAAAGGCCTCGAAAACTTTTAGTTTTAATGATAAGGACAAAATAAAGGATAAACTGGATAGTGCAGGTTTGACTTTTTAGTGTAAAAATGTGGTTTTTCGTTAAAGTGAACAGTACCATGAGCTTTTCGTTAAAACTCCCTTTTTTTTTTTTTTTTTTTTTTTGTTTCTTCTTTTCTGTTAAATTACTCATCTGGATGTTAATTTAGTTCAAAAACTAAGTATTGTTCTTCAATTAATCTTATCATAAAGCATATGAGAACGTGGCACACTAGTGTTCGATGAAATGTGTCTGAGAATCTGTCAATATGATATATTATAATTCTGACTCTCCTCTTCAGCTCCGGCCCCAGGTGCGTGAAGGCGACGTGGACCTGGTCGATGGTGTCTTCATTCACAGTTCCGGACGACAGTTCTGAACCTCTGGCGATTCCGACTGAGAAAGAGGTCAATAACAGCAAGGTAACGGAATTCAATGTTTTGTGTTTGTTATAGAGGCATTTTTGCAACAGTATATCAGAGAATATTTCTAGATAGTCTGTCCAGATAGCTTAGAATGTGTTTCATGATGCATATGGCTGAAGCGGTTTTGGCTACTTTTTGGATTGCTCATTAATTTTTTTCTTGGCTGGTACAAATACATATAAGAAAAGTACTATCCTTTAATCAACTTTTATTCAGGTTCAAATTTAGAATGCATTTGTATTCATGAGGCATTGGGGTAAAGTGCCTGTGTTCTGTGTTTTGTTGTTATTTTTTCATCCTTTTAAATTGTATTATGGGTAAGTGAACACATTTAGCTGAGAAATATCAACAACAAAGTTTAAACTTTTTGATATGGCATAACCCTCAAACTTGTCATATGGTCAGGTTTTATTTGGTCACTTGTTTATGTTTGTGGATGCCTTGTTGAAAATATCTGTGTCCCATGTGCTTCATCTTCTGCTGGTGAAACCAGAAATATAACCGTTGGATCATTTGCTAGCAATTAGTAGAGGGATGGGGGCTTCATCTCTATTCTCGCATGCTGAAACTTTCCGCTCTTCAGGTAATCTCTCAGTTGAAAGCTTCTAATTAATTTTTTTTCATTTGGGTATTTTTTTTATTTATTTATGGATTTATGTATTTTTTGTTCCAGTGAATTCGAAATGAAATCAGAAAAACGGATTTAGTAACAAATATATGAAATTTTTATTTGCGTGTCCTGTTTTTGATTTGTTTGGTTTGGAATTATATTATTTTTTGCTTTTTTTGGCAAGGGCTTTTAGAGAATAAAGTTGCTTGCTGCTACCCTTGATTTTCCAGTGACATTTGTGTAGCCTGCATTTAGTCATATAATGGATGGTGTAAATTCAGTTCTTATAGACAATTTTTTTTTAAAAAGATATCTGGGTTTCTTTTTGCTTCTTCTCTGTTAAATTACCCATCTGGAAGTTAATTTTGTTCAAAGACTAAGTATTGTTCTTCAATTAAAGATTTCTGGGTTTTTTTTGTTGCTTCTTTTCTGTTAAATTACTCATCTGGATGTTAATTTTGTTCAAAAACTAAGTATTGTTCTTCAATTAATCTTACAAGAAAGCATATGGGAACATGGCACACTAGGTGTTCGATGAAATGTGTCTGAGAATCCGTCAATATGATATATTATAATTTTGACCCTCCGCTTCAGCTCCGGCCTCAGGTTTGTGAAGGCGAAGTGGTCCTGGTCGACTGTCTCTTCTCCACGGTTCTGGACGATGGTTCCGAAGCTCTGGCGATTCCGACTGAGAAAGAGGTCAATAACAACAAGGTAATGGAATTCAATGTTTTGTGTATTTAGACGTAGGCATTATACATTTTAATTGATGCACATACTTCTAGAGGCATACTTCAAGGCACAGAAATTACGTAGTTTGTAGTCCTGTTAATTTTGAATACTATTATGTATTTCAACATAATAGTGTTCCATTGCCCAAAAAGAAAACAGAAAGGAATTGTATGAGTTTCTGATTTTCTTGCAGTTGAAGAGGATCCTGCTGATGGTGAACCTAAATTTAAACCTTTTACTGGATCTGGAAGACGCTTGGATGGGAAGCCTTTGAAATATAAGCCAGCACCAGCTTCTTCCTCAGGATCCAAAGACAAGAAACCTGCAGTCACCAATGGAAATGCACAACCTTCTACAGGATCTAGTTCACAAGCTACCAGTTGTCAGGCTCGGGGAAAACTTGTTTTCGGATCGAATGCCAGTCGCTCTCCAAAGGAGACAAAAAAGGTACTCTTGCTTCTCTTGTTTCATGACTTCCATCAACTGACTTTGGAATTATTTTACAAACGTTGCCAGTTTGATATGATGCTGATCGTAAATCACTCTTTATCTATTCAATTCTGCAGGAAGCTGCAAAAGAGACTAAGAAAGAGAAGCAGCCGGAAGTGCAAGAAGACCCGAAATTCCAGCCTTTTATCAACTTTTAGTCAGGTTCAAATTTAGAATGCATTTGTACTCATGAGGCATTGTGGTAAAATAGCTAGGGGATAACGTTTTAGTCAGGTACAAATAGCAACTGTTTTTTTTGTTTTTGGTTATTTTTTCATGTAGGGGATAACTTTTTGTTGTTTATTGAAAGGAATATTAGAACACATCCACACCCTATTTTGTCAAATTGTTCTAAAGTGTCTGATGCCGATTTTAGAATTCTCCTGACTTTCTAACTCAAATCTGTGCCAAGAGAACCCAACTAAAGTGGTTCGCCGCTCCATGTATGAAGTATTAGTGAATTATTTGTTATTTACAAAACGAAACAAAAATTTTTGCGTTTTAAGCATACATAGTGAAATTTATGTTATAAATTTTTTGATAAGAAGCAGGTGTAAATTAGAATCATACTAATATAGGTATGCTATATACATAAATTTGATAGTACCATCAGTTCAGAATTAATCTTTAGTGTCATTAAAAAATATACGTAAATTTATATACATAAATTTGATAGCACCATAAATTTGGGGTACTGCTGTTAGGTTTTTCCAGCGCATGATAAGTTGTCGTAAGAGTATAAGGAATTATAGTTTTAGAGGATTAAATTGTTTTCCGAATTGGAGTTGTTTTCCGAATTGGAGTTAGTTTCTCAATTGGAGTAGGTTTTATAACTAGATTCCAATTAGGATTAAAAATCCTTATTGAAGAAGACCTTTATTATGTCTATATAAAGGGGCTATTGTACTAGTTTTGAATTGGGGGGAGCAAAACAATAAATTGTATACCACTCAAGGGATTAGAGTGAGAGAATATTGTAAAGTGTGTGCGAGAGAAAAGAAAAGAGATAGTGTATTTCTTGTTCCTGTTCTTTCAGGTTTTTCATCAAGTCCTAGTTCTAGAGATTTGGCAAGATTATTGGTTGTACTCATTATTGATATAGTGAAAGATTGTTGTTGCTGTCCCGTGGATGTAGGCACGTATTGCCGAACCACGTTAATTCTTGGTGTTGATTTGTCTTGGTTATTTGTTTTCGATTTCCGGAGCTTGATCTGTTTTTACCATTCTTAAATGTGATATTCTCAACAACTGTTATATTTAGTACAGCCAATATGGTGCCGTTCAGGTGTTTTTGACTAATCTCTGCAGTTTTTGAATTCATCTGGGGTATTTGTGATTTTAAACGACACTAAAAATTTATGGGCTATAGGAACCGCTTGTTAAGAAAATGGGTCCAAATTCAGAGCTGCATTCTTCTTCCCTCAAAATAAGAAGAAAACGCTTCCTCAACTCCATATTTTGGCACCTCAGGTATACTTGCGTTCTAAAGCCTTTTACTTCTTCCGATTTCTTCAGAGCTATTATTTTACCCATATGTGATTTGTAAAGTGGAAGATTGGATTTCATATGTCTGAGTATTTAGGGTTTTGTACAATGCAAACTTGGGCTTATTGATCCAAATGGCTAGAACAATGTACTCAACAATTTCATATCCTCTTGGGCCAAGGAGAGTATATTACTTGCTAATAAGGAATATACTTCATATAATAGCAATGTGCTGATGTGTGGCATGCTTTAATTAGGGATATTTATGTGTAGGAAGAAAGCCATAGAGAGAGAGAGAGAGAGAGGGAGAGAGAGAGAGCCGAGGACACACAAATGACACATGTAAAACATTTATTTCATTGCTTCATTTTTGGTACAAAAAAACATTTATTGTTAACTAAGGAACCATTTTTATGGATTTATTGAAATATGTAAGAACTTGTTTCTATCCTAACACATTAATTTTGCTCAATAGGAATCCCATAACTGAAATTTTATAGAAATGGTGTAATTGGTCAATCTGAAATTTTGAATTTTAGCCGATGAATGAACTCTTACAAGCTTTCTACTGCATATACACATCTTTTTTGGTTGTTAGATTTTGTTTTTATTTCATTTTTTGGTAAATGGAATGGTTGGTTTTGCAAAGGACTGACCTTTATCTTTTGTAGTTTTACCTTTTTTGGTATCGAGTATTGGTTGGTTTTATTTTGTAGATTGACAGGTATTTGTGCGTTATTTGTTTTCAATAATCAGTTTTCGTTATTTGTTTTAAATTTTATTATGGATAAGTGAACACAATTATGAGTATCAACCATTTATCCTCATTCATATTCAAATGTAATTTAATATCGATTTTGTAAGAGTTTTTTTGTCAATAATTTATGAATTTTTGTCAGTGAAACAATTTTTGAGCCGCATTTGGTCCGACGCTAATAATTTTTGTACTGCTGGATAATTATATTTTCTCATTGCGCAGAAAAAAAGTTTGCAGTGTGGGTTTTCTAAATTCAGTCACTTCATTCTCTAATCTCATAGATCTCCAAATTAAATCCATTTAACTATGTCATTCTTTGTATCATTTTACCGTATTTATTTGAGTTCTGTATTTAAATGTTGTTGACTTTTATTACATGAAGAAAACTGCCATATCCATAGAAAATAAATTTTTGATTTGTGTAGCAATGCATTTGAACGCTACAGTATTTTCTGTTTGGGTTTTTTTTTCCAACTTAATTTGTTTTGGATTGTTGATTTTGAATTTTCGGTTTAATGTATTTACAAAGGCCATGAACTCTTTGATGGTAGTATTCCATTTTTTTACTGATTCCCAGATTTTTTTTCAAGAGAATTAATTATCTGTTTGTCTCAGCTAACAGAGTAAATCTGGGGTTCTGTACACAACAAAATATGGAATTTAGCTAAGAAATTTCAACAACAAAGTTTAAACTTTTTGATATGGCAAAAAACAGATTCTCTTCTTTCTCAAAACCCTCAAATTTGTCATATGATCAGGGTTTATTTAGTCATTTGATTATGTCTGGGACAAGTATGTATGTCCGAGGATGCCTTGTTGAAAATTTATGTACCCCATGTGCTTCATCTTCTGCTGGTTAAACCAGAAATATAGCCGTTGAATCCGTTGCTAGCAATTAGTAGATGATTAATTTCCTTTTTGTCGTAAATTATGGAACTTCCAGGAGCTTGAAGGGCTCTCAGATCCGATGAGGAAGGATGTTTCACGAGTTCGTAAGAAGATCAATGCGATTAACAAAGAGTTAAAGTCACTAGGACATACCTGCCAGAAGAAGGTAACACAACTTGGATTTTTACCACATTCAGATGTTAATGTTTACTGCTATGCATATGCAATTATGGATCAATTCGTGTCTGTTCGTGATGAATTTCGGGTTTGTAACTTGTCACAGGAAAAGGAATACAGAGATGCACTTGAGGCTTTCAATGAAAAGAACAGAGAAAAAGTGCAGCATATAACAAAGCTAATGGAGGTTAGTTTGTTAAACAAATTTTTACTTGGCATAGCGGTGTTGCAATTTCATGGATGGGTTGAACTCAAACCAGTCTGATGGCTTTCTCACCTCTCTTCCCTGAAATACATTAATCTCAATGGCGTTGATCTTAGCAGCACAGGAGTCAGTTGGGCATATGATATTAACATGCTTCCTTCATTGTTAGAGTTACATTTATCTTCGTGCCAAATTGAAAGCATTCCACTCTGACTGCAGAGCATTAACTTCCTTCCACTTTCACTACAGAGGATTAACTTCACATCACTGTTGGTCCTTGATATGTCGTCTAATGGCATTAAAAGTTCTTCATTTCCCGGTTGGTTTTTTAATCTTACCAACCTCGTAACACTTGATCTATCCGGGAATGATTTCAGCAATTATTTTCCAAGTGGATTTTCAAACTTCAAATCTTTGCAAAACCTTGATTTATCTGAAATAGGCTTAAAAGGTCAAATTCCTAAAGTCAGTGGAAATTTGTGCAAGCTAAAAGTCTTAAGTCTTTCAGGGAACTACTTTGATGGGGGGGGATTGAAGAGTTTTGGAGGAGTCTCTCAAATTGTCCAAGTAATACATTAGAGTCACTAGATTTGTCTAATTGTGAGCTTGAAGGCCAATTGCCGGTCTTTTTAGGAATGTTTAAAAGTTTGCAGAATCTCAACCTTGGAGAAAACAATTTGTGGGGCTCAATTCCAGATTCCATCGGAAACTTGTCATCCTTGAGAAAACTATACCTCTATTCTAATAATTTGTCGGGCTCAATTCCAAATTCCATCGGAAACTTGTCGTCCTTGAGAATACTAGAGCTCAATGATAACAAGATGAACGGCTCAATTCCAGAAAGTATTGGACAACTCTGTGTAATTCATGGGAAGGCATTCTAACGGAAGCCCATTTCATAAATCTTACCAGATTACAAGATTTTGAAGTAGAAAACATAGACCGACCCACGTCCCTCATTCTCGACGGGGCTTATGACAGGGTTCCCCCTTTCAAGCTCTTCAGAATTTTTATCATAAATTGTCGAATAAGTCTTGGTTTTTGGGTATGGCTTCAAACTCAAACTGAACTGTCTGATGTTGCCCTTCAGGGTAATGGAATCTCAGATTCCATACCTGAGGAATGGTTGCTGAAGATATCTGCCCAACTCACCTATCTAGACTTGTTTTACAACCACTTTCATGGAAACTTTCCATCCCATTTGAAATTTCCAAATTTAATGTCTATTGATTTGAGTCATAATCAGTTGGAGGGCCCTCTACCACTTTGGTGTTTCCCTAATGTCCAAGTTGGAAGAATTGTTACTTGATGAGAATCATTTGAATGGCACTATTCCTCCCTCTATTTGTAAGATGCAGAAGTTAAAAATCCTGTCTCTAAGGAGTAATCAGTTTTCGGGAGAACTCCCTCATGCATGGAATATGGAGAGCATTATGGTGTTTTTAGATGTTGGTCAAAACAATCTGTCTGGTAATATTCCCACTTCATTGGGGGTACTACGTTCCTTGGAAATTTTAAAGCTCAACGACAACAATTTTGGCGGTGAAATTCCTGATGCCTTGCAAAATTGTTCAAGTTTGAGGAGTATTGATCTTGGTGACAACAAGTTATCTGGGAAAATACCTCTATGGATAGGAGGGTCAAACGTATCTAAGTTGTCTAGGCTACAATTACGGTCCAACTATTTTAGTGGATGTATTTCCCAACAACTGTGCAATCTTCAAGGCCTTCACATCCTCGACCTTAGTCACAACAGCCTTTCAGGTACTATTCCCATATGTTTGGATAACTTAACTTCGCTTATCAATGATGCTTCTTATGAAAATGATTATGATGAGTTTGAGCAAGCCACACTGACACTAAAAGGAGAAGAACTTGTGTACAACACAACTCTATATCTTGTAAAGAGCATTGATCTTTCATCAAATAATTTACAAGGTGAAATCCCTAAAGAAATAAGCAGCCTCATTCAATTGGGCACCTTGAATTTGTCCAAGAATCAATTGACTGGAAAGATCCCCTCTAAGGTCGGCAACTTGCATTGGCTTGAAACTCTTGATCTCTCACACAACCACCTTTTGGGACAAATTTCTCAAAGCTTGTCATCTTTAACCTCTTTGTCCCACCTGGACTTGTCTTACAACTTGTCTGGAAGAATTCCTACTGGAAACCAGCTTCAAACGCTCAAATTTTCGTCCATTTATGTGGGTAATCAATGGCTATGTGGCTTTCATCTCTCAACTAAGTGCCCTGAAGATGACACTTTTACTGCTAAAGATGCAAAGGACGAGAATGAAGATGGAAATGATAAGTTGTGGCTCTATGTCAGCGTGGTACTTGGCTTTATCGTAGGTTTTTGTTGCGTTTGCGGCACGTTGATCTTAAAGACATCGTGGAGGTATGCCTATTTTCAATTCTTCGATGACATCAAAGATAAGGTAGCACTTTCAATTGCACTAAAAGTGGCTCGTTTCAAAATGTTTTTATTCTGAAGTTTGATTGTACTAATATATAATGTGATGTTTTTCCCTTCTACTTTGTGTTTTGATACTTGCAGCATATGTATTAAATAAAAGAATCTTTCAGTAAGTGATCCCACAAACAATTATCTAACGGTTATCCATTTAATACAAGAATTCTATCTAGTTTGTACTTATGAATCGCATAATACAATCTACCGATGTAATGTTGCAATTTAACAAAATAACATTACGAACTAGATAAGCACACGTGCGTATTCTTCTCTTTTACACTTGAATGTCGTCCAACTCGGCGAGTGGTAGTCCACCTCTACCGCCTTCTCGATGCTGCCAAAACCATACAAAAATGGGAGGAAGAATTGGTGGTTCGATATCGTCGAGGGTTTTCTGGGATCCTGTTCCTTGCAGAGAGAGAGGTGGGAGAATTCGATGGCGTCTTCCGGGTTCCTGTCCCTTGCCGACAGAGAGATGGGAGAGGTATTTTGGCGTCTGTTGCAGAGAGAGATTAGGGGGTGGGTCTAGGGTTTGCACAGGGGGTGGGTGGGCGATTCAATTGAGGGGCTCCATCTCTATTCTCGCTTGCTGAAACTTTCCGCTCTTCAGGTAATCTCTCAGTTGAAAGCTTCTAATTTTTTTTTTTCATTTGGTATTTTTTTTCTTTGGATTTATGTATTTTTTCCCCAGTGAATTCGAAATGAAATCAGAAAAACGGATTTAGTAAACAAATTGATGAAATTTTTACTTGCTGCTACCCTTGATTTTCCCGTGACATTTGTGCAGCCTGCATTTAATCATATGATGATTAAATGGGGTTGAACGTATTAATGAGTGGTTGCGTTTATATAAGCTTTTTCTTTGCTCTCTTTTTTCAAATCTTTCTAATTGTTTATGTGCAAATGGGGTTGAACGTATTAATGAGTGGTTGCGTTGTTTGCAGCGAGCTCCGTTCAAGGTTATTCCATTTCTTATAGACAATTTTGTCAAGATTTCTGGGTTTCTTTTTGCTTCTTCTCTGCTAAATTACTCATCTGGAAGTTCAAAGACCAAGTATTGTTCTTCAATTAAGATTTCTGGGTTTTTGTTTTTTTTTTTTTTTGTTGCTTCTTTTCTGTTAAATTACTCATCTGGATGTTAATTTAGTTCAAAAGCTAAGTATTGTTCGATGAAATGTGTCTGAGAATCTGTCACTATGATATATTATAATTCTGACTCTCCTCTTCAGCTCCGGCCCCAGGTGCGTGAAGGTGACGTGGACCTGGTCGACGGTGTCTTCATTCACAGTTCCGGACGACAGTTCTGAAAAGTACTATCCTTTTATCAACTTTTAATTCTTTTTGGCTTGCTCATTAATTTTTTTGTTGACCTTGGCTGGTACAAATACATATAAGAAAAGTACTATCCTTTTATCAACTTTTAGTCAGGTTCAAATTTAGAATGGATTTGTATTCATGAGGCATTTTTTCATATGGTAAAGTGCCTGTGTTCTGTGTTTTGTTGTTATTTTTTCATCCTTTTAAATTGTATTATGGATAAGTGAACACATTTAGCTGAGAAATTTCAACAACAAAGTTTAAACTTTTTGATATGGCATAACCCTCAAACTTGTCATATGGTCAGGTTTTATTTGGTCACTTGTTTATGTTTGTGGATGCCTTGTTGAAAATATCTGTGTCCCATGTGCTTCATCTTCTGCTGGTTAAACCAGAAATATAACCGTTGGATCACTTGAAGGGCTCTCGGGTCCAATGAGGAAGGATTTTTCACAAGTTCGTAAGAAAGATCACTGCGATTAACAAAGAGTTAGAGCCACTAGGACGTACGTGCCAGAAGAAGGTAACACAACTTGGATTTTTACCACATTTTGGTGTTAATGTTTACTGCTATGCATATGCAATCATGGATCAATTCGTGCGGGTTCATAATGAATTTTGGGTTCGTAACTTGTCACAGGAAAAGGAATACAGAGATGCACTTGAAGCTTTCAATGAAAAGAACAGAGAGAAATATAACCAAAAATATAACCGTTGTGCTTCATCTTCTGCTGGTTAAACCAGAAATATAACCATTGGATCATTTGCTAGCAATTAGTAGAGGGATGGGGGCTTCATCTCTATTCTCGCTTGCTGAAACTTTCCGCTCTTCAGGTAATCTCTCAGTTGAAAGCTTCTAATTAATTTTTTTTCATTTGGGTTTTTATTTTTTTTTATTTTTTATGGATTTATGTATTTTTTGTTCCAGTGAATTCGAAATGAAATCAGAAAAACGGATTTAGTAACAAATATATAAAATTTTTATTTGCGTGTCCTGTTTTTGATTTGTTTGGTTTGGAATTATATTATTTTTTGCTTTTTTTGGCAAGGGCTTTTAGAGAATAAAGTTGCTTGCTGCTACCCTTGATTTTCCAGTGACATTTGTGTAGCCTGCATTTAGTCATATAATGGATGGTGGTGTAAATTCAGTTCTTATAGACAATTTTTTTTTTAAAAAAGATATCTGGGTTTCTTTTTGCTTCTTCTCTGTTAAATTACTCATCTGGAAGTTAATTTTGTTCAAAGACTAAGTATTGTTCTTCAATTAAAGATTTCTGGGTTTTTTTTTTGTTGCTTCTTTTCTGTTAAATTACTCATCTGGAAGTTAATTTTGTTCAAAAACTAAATATTGTTCTTCAATTAATCTTACAAGAAAGCATATGGGAACGTGGCACACTAGGTGTTCGATGAAATGTGTCGTAGAATCCGTCAATATGATATATTATAATTTTGATCCTCCGCTTCAGTTCCGGCCTCAGGTGCGTGAAGGCGAAGTGGTCCTGGTCGACTGTCTCTTCCTCCACACTTCTGGACGATGGTTCCGAAGCTCTGGCGATTCCGACTGAGAAAGAGGTCAATAACAACAAGGTAATGGAATTCAATGTTTTGTGTATTTAGACGTACTTCTAGAGGCATACTTCAAGGCACAGAAATTACGTAGTTTGTAGTCCTGTTAATTTTGAATATTATTATGTATTTCAACATAATAGTGTTCCATTGCCCAAAAAGAACACAGAAAGGAATTGTATGAGTTTCCGATTTTCTTGCCGTTAAAGAGGATCCTGCTGATGCTGAACCTAAATTTAACCCTTTTACTGGATCTGGAAGACGCTTGGATGGGAAGCCTTTGAAATATAAGCCAGCACCAGCTTCTTCCTCAGGATCCAAAGACAAGAAACCTGCAGTCACCAATGGAAATGCACAACCTTCTACAGGATCTAGTTCACAAGCTACCAGTTGTCAGGCTCGGGAAAAACTTGTTTTCGGATCAAATGCCAGTCGCTCTCCAAAGGAGACAAAAAAAGGTACTCTTGCTTCTCTTGTTTCATGACTTCCATCAACTGACTTTGGAATTATTTTACAAACGTTGCCAGTTTGATGTGATGCTGATCGTAAATCACTCTTTATCTATTCAATTCTGCAGGAAGCTGCAAAAGAGACTAAGAAAGAGAAACAGCCGGAAGTGAAAGAAGACCCGAAATTCTAGCCTTTTATCAACTTTTAGTCAGGTTCAAATTTAGAATGCATTTGTACTCATGAGGCATTGGGGTAAAATAGCTGGGGGATAACGTTTTAGTCAGGTACAGATAGCAACTGTTTTTTTTGTTTTTGGTTATTTTTTCATGTAGGGGATAACTTTTTGTTGTTTATTGAAAGGAATATTAGAACACATCCACATCCTATTTTGTCAAATTGTTCTAAAGTGTCTGATGCTGATTTTAGAATTCTCCTGACTTTCTAACTCAAATCTGTGCCAAGAGAACCCAACTAAAGTGGTTCGCCGCTCCATGTATGAAGTATTAGTGAATTATTTGTAATTTACAAAATGAAACGAAAATTTTTGCGTTTTAAGCATACATGGTGAAATTTATGTTATAAATTTTTTGATAAGAAGCAGGTGTAAATTAGAATCATACTAATATAGGTATGCTATATACATAAATTTGATAGTACCATAAGTTCAGAATTAATCCTTAGTGTCATTAAAAAATAAACGTAAATTTATATACATATATTTGATAGCACCATAAATTTGGGGTACTGCTGTTAGGTTTTTCCAGCCCACGATAAGTTGTCCTAAGAGTATAAGGAATTATAGTCTTAGAGGATTAAATTGTTTTCCGAATTGGAGTTAGTTTCTCAATTGGAGTAGGTTTTATAACTAGATTCCAATTGGGATTAATAATCCTTATTGAAGAAGACCTTTATTATGTCTATATAAAGGGGCTATTGTACTAGTTTTGAATTGGGGGGAGCAAAACAATAAATTGTATACCACTCAAGGGATTAGAGTGAGAGAATATTGTAAAGTGTGTGAGAGAGAAAAGAAAAGAGATAGTGTATTTCTTGTTCCTGTTCTTTCAGGTTTTTCGTCAAGTCCTAGTTCTAGAGATTTGGCAAGATTATTGGTTGTACTTATTATTGATATAGTGAAAGATTGTTGTTGCTGTCCCGTGGACTTAGGCACGTATTGCCGAACCACGTTAATTCTTGGTGTTGATTTGTCTTGGTTATTTGTTTTCGATTTTCAGAGCTTGATCTGTTTTTACCATTCTTAAATGTGATATTCTCAACAACTGTTATATTTAGTACAGCCAATATGGTGCCGTTCAGGTGTTTTTGACTAATCTCTGCAGTTTTTGAATTCATCTGGGGTATTTGTGATTTTGAACGACACTAAAAATTTATGGGCTATAGGAACCGCTTGTTAAGAAAATGGGTCCAAATTCAGAGCTGCATTCTTCTTCCCTCAAAATAAGAAGAAAACGCTTCCTCCACTCCATATTTTGGCACCTCAGGTATATTTGCGTTCTAAAGCCTTTTACTTCTTCCGATTTCTTCAGAGCTATTAGTTTACCCATATGTGATTTGTAAAGTGGAAGATTGGATTTCATATGTCTGAGTATTTAGGGTTTTGTACAATGCAAACTTGGGCTTATTGATCCAAATGGCTAGAATAATGTACTCAACAATTTCATATCCTCTTGGGCCAAGGAGAGTATATTACTTGGCAATAAGGAATATACTTCATATAATAGCAATGTGCTGATGTGTGGCATGCTTTAATTAGGGATATTTATGTATAGTAAGAAAGCCATAGAGAAAGAGAGAGCGGGAGAGAGAGAGAGAGAGCCGAGGACACACAAATGACACATGTAAAACATTTATTTCATTGCTTCGTTTATGGATTTATTGAAATATGTAAGAACTTGTTTCTATCCTAACACGTTAATTTTGCTCAATAGGAATCCCATAACTGAAATTTTATAGAAATGGTGTAATTGGTCAATCGGAAATTTTGAATTTTAGCCGATGAATGAACTCTTACAAGCTTTCTACTGCATATACACATCTTTTTTGGTTGTTAGATTTTGTTTTTATTTCATTTTTTGGTAAATGCAATGGTTGGTTTTGCAAAGGACTGACCTTTATCTTTTGTAGTTTTACCTTTTTTGGTATTGAGTATTGGTTGGTTTTATTTTCTAGATTGACAGGTATTTGTGCGTTATTTGTTTTCAATAATCAGTTTTCGTTATTTGTTTTAAATTTTATTATGGATAAGTGAACACAATTATGAGTATCAACCATTTATCCTCATTCATATTCAAATGTAATTTAATATCGATTTTGTAAGAGTTTTTTTGTCAATAATTTCTGAATTTTTGTCAGTAAAACAATTTTCGAGCCGCATTTGGTCCGACGCTAATAATTTTTGTACTGCTGGATAATTATATTTTCTCATTGAGCAGATAAAAAGTTTGCAGTGTGGGTTTTCTAAATTCAGTCACTTCATTCTCTAATCTCATAGATCTCCAAATTTAATCCATTTAACTATGTCATTCTTTGTATCATTTTACTGTATTTATTTGAGTTCTGTATTTAAATGTTGTTGACTTTTATTACATGAAGAAAACTGCCATATCCATAGAAAATAAATTTTTGATTTGTGTAGCAATGCATTTGAACGCTACAATATTTTCTGTTTGGGTTTTTTTCCAACTTAATTTGTTTTGGATTTTTGATTTTGAATTTTCGGTTTAATGTATTTACAAAGGCCATGAACTCTTTGATGGAAGTATTCCATTTTTTTTACTGATTCCCAGATTTTTTTTTCAAGAGAACTAATTATCTGTTTGTCTCAGCTAACAGAGTAAATCTGGGGTTCTGTACACAACAAAATATGGAATTTAGCTAAGAAATTTCAACAACAAAGTTTAAACTTTTTGATATGGCAAAAAACAGGTTCTCTTCTTTCTCAAAACCCTCAAATTTGTCATATGATCAGGGTTTATTTAGTCATTTGATTATGTCTGGGACAAGTATATATGTCCAAGGATGCCTTGTTGAAAATTTATGTACCCCATGTGCTTCATCTTCTGCTGGTTAAACCAGAAATATAGCCGTTGAATCCGTTGCTAGCAATTAGTAGATGATTAATTTCCTTTTTGTCGTAAATTATGGAACTTCCAGGAGCTTGAAGGGCTCTCAGATCCGATGAGGAAGGATGTTTCACAAGTTCGTAAGAAGATCAATGCGATTAACAAAGAGTTAATGTCACTAGGACATACCTGCCAGAAGAAGGTAACACAACTTTGATTTTTACCACATTCAGATGTTAATGGTTACTGCTATGCATATGCAATTATGGATCAATTCGTGATGAATTTCGGGTTTGTAACTTGTCACAGGAAAAGGAATACAGAGATGCACTTGAGGCTTTCAATGAAAAGAACAGAGAAAAAGTGCAGCTTATGGCAAAGCTAATGGAGGTTAGTTTGTTAAACAAATTTTTACTTGGCATAGCGGGGTTGCAATTTCATGCATGGGTTGAACTCAAACCAGTCTGGCCAGTTCGGAGTTAGAGTGAGCACGGTTGAGCCTGGTTTGACAAATTACCAATCCTACAAAATTTGGGCTTACCTCCGGTTAGGAGTTCAACCTATCCAACCTCTCAACCGATGCTATTTATCACTCATTATATTTCGATTCAGTAAAAGCGTACATAGTGCTTATATAATTCAACGTTTTGAGATTGTTTTGTTGTCGTGTAACATTTGATGCAGCTGGTGAACGAAAGTGAGAAGACAAAGATGAAGAAGCTTGAGGAGCTGAGCAAGAACATACAATCATTAAAGTGAAGAAATAGCAGCCTATGTGGGTAACTGATGATCTGATTAGGTTTGTGTGATGATTTATTTAAGGTGAGTTTTTTTTACGTTTACATATATGGGTGGTGATTGGCATTTGGTGTAATTTCTAAGTTGGTTTGTTTCATTAATTAGTGCTTGGTAAAAACATTTGGCTGATTTAGGCAGGAAAATAACCTTTAAATTTAAACAGGTTTGTAACTAAAAGCATCCGGCCTTGCATTTTTCTTCTCATTTTTCCATGTATCCAAACACATACTACCCTACTTCCTAGTGTAATGTGGGGTTCTTTGAATTTATTCCTATTCTTTGTTCTAACTTTTTCTGGATTGCAAAGGCCATGATATTTATGTAATAATGTAAAGTTTTATGAGTGATTTTGGGACAAATGGAGTGTATTTTGTTCAATTTTTCTTCAGTACTCGGCTCTATACGGAACGATTGCATTTTCTACTCCTACCCCCACAACACCATGATCTTCTTCTCTCTTTTCATGGATTCTTGTGACTGTAACCTCCATTTGCTGAGATCTCTCCCGGTCCACTGTGAGAGTATCAAAAAAACCCACCATCCCCATTTTCCAAGTTTTCCCTTTACTCTCTCCAAATATTGAATCTTTCTGCTCTTCTGCTTGTTGGGTTTTTTTTTTTTTTTTAGTTATTTTTTCATGTAGGGGATAACTTTTTGTTGTTTGTTGAAAGGAATATTAGAACACATCCACACCCTATTTTGTCAAATTGTTCTAAAGTGTCTGATGCTGATTTTAGAATTCTCCTGACTTTCTAACTCAAACCTGTGCCAAGAGAACCCATGTATGAAGTATTAGTGAATTATTTGTAATTTACGAAACGACACGAAAATTTTTGCGTTGTAAGCATACATATTGAAATTTATGTTATAAATTTTTTTGATAAGCAGCAGATGTAAATTAGAATCATACTAATATAGGTATGCTATATACATAAATTTGATAGTACCATAAGTTCAGAATTAATCTTTAGTGTCATTAAAAAATTTACGTAAATTTATATACATAAATTTGATACCACCATAAATTTGGGGTACTGTTGTATTTGGTACAGCCGATATGGTGCCGCTCGGGTGTTTTTTGACTTATCTCTGCAGTTTTTGAATTTAACTGGGTATTTGTGATTTTGAACTACACTAAAATTTTTTATGGGTTATAGGTTTTAACTACCTTGAAATATTTGAGAATTGAAGAGAAAATCAAAAGAAAGATGAACGCAGAGAGCTTGGAGAGAGTTTAGAGAGAGAAATATGAGACTTGTATTAACTAAAAAGAAAGATTACACAGCTACGTTTTTACAAGAGAGTCTAACAACTCTAACCAAATATTAACAAACTTACTAACTGTATTGCCGATTTGTACAATCAATTAACTAATCATCTAACTATTGGTGTGGAACCGCAGGGTTAGAAAATGTGTCCAAATGCTTCTTGCAAATAACCCAACGGTTAGGTTTAGTCAAAGCAATGACCTCTTCCCCGAGGAGGGGAATTGACATCACTTTTTCAACTTTTGTCACCACTTTAATCATAATTCAAGCAGATTGAGCACGCTAAGTTAGCCGTTGCTCTACATAAAAAATACAGCTTCACCTTACACCGAAAAAGAAACCAAATCAAATAAGGAGTGCTATTATGTCCACTTTATTGTCTAATTTTTTCACCCACTTTTTAACGAAAATTTTAGTAACAAGTTTATTCTATTGCAAAATTACATAGAAGGACTTAAAGTGTTTTTGTTTGGGAATTGAAGTGACATAAGCGACACCACCTCTCTGTATCTCTCCGGCGCACCACCGTCCTCACAACCCAACTCAAAACGAAGTGAAGGACCCAAGGTTTAAGTGCTGCTTCCCTTTGATTGAGCAAACATATTATGCCATTCTTAGGATTTAAGGAACGATTCTTGGTATATACACAAACAGTGAGAAAATAGAACAAATCATGTCCCTTTCTCCAGTCGGGCTAAACGATAAGAACCCTAAAAAGTGCAAACAGAGTTATAGATTAGGCTTCAATCTCTGTCTATCCTTCTTGCAATTTCGTAAATGCATGTGAATTAGTGAACAAATTAATAGATGAATTAGTTTAGAATATTGCAAGTATTTAAAATAAAAAAAGAATACCGCAAATATTAAATCATCCTCACCTGCTTTGCCAATTGCCACTCTCTTGTCTCTTCCAATCCCTTTCATCAATTATGATTTATGGATTTCCACGGCTAGACATAAGGATTTTCCACCAAAGACTAATCGGTGTGCAAAGACTTCCACAGGTAGCTAGCCATCTCAGTCATGCATTCATAATATCTGCTCCTACAAGGCTTGCAAACTTGTAAATATCCAAGTAGTGACTACCAATCTACCAGCATGTGTGGTGTGAATTATAAGAACATATCCAAATCGGTTTTCGTAAGTAAGTTGATAAGTTGTGAATTGTGATGGAACAAGATGACCCTTAATTCAAAGTCTTTGTTGCGTATGGATTTCCACAACCCATCACAATCAGATACCAGTTGTGTTGACAAGGGACCTGCAAACTTGTAAATGGGGTTGTGAACAACCGCCACTCATTTCAGTTGCCCTTTTTTCTTTTCTCCATCAGACGACTTTCGTTGTCACTCTCCGGCCTACATCGATAAACATCTCACCAACAAAGCAAAGAAAATAAGAAGAAAATGGATCCAAATTTATGACTTTTACTTCTTCCGATTTCTTTAGAGCTATTATTTTACCCATATGTGATTTGTAAAGTGGAAGATTGGATATCATATGTCTGAGTATTTAGGGTTTTGTACCATGCAAACTTGAGCTTATTGATCCAAATGGTTAGAACAATGTACTCAAACAATTTCATATCCTCTTGGGCTAAGGAGAGTATATTACTTGCCAATGAGAAATATACTTCATATAATAGCTATGTGATGATGTGTGGCATGCTTTAATTAGGGATATTTTTGTGTAGTAAGAAAGCCATAGAGAAAGAGTCACATTTTTGTTTTTTTTTTATCAGTGAACGTATTCATAAATAAATTAGTTGATAATATAGCTAGTATTTAAAAAAAAAAAATACCGCAAATATTAAGTCATGCTCACTTGCATTGCCAATTGCTACTCTCTTTTCTCTTCCAATCCCCTTCATCAATTATATTTATGAATTTTCACCGCTAGCTAATCGGTGTGCAAAGACTTCCACATGCACACCTTTAATTCCAGTCTACCAGCATGTGTGGTGTAAAATATAACAACATATCCAAATCTGTTTTTCGGAAGCAAGTTGATAAGTTGTGAATTGTGATGGAACATGAAGACCCTTAATTCAACAACCCATCACAATCAAGTACCAGCTGTGTCGACAAGGGACCTGCAAACTTGTAAAATGGGTTGTGAACACCCACCACTCATTTCAGTTACCCTTTTTTCTTTTCTCCATCCGACGACTTTCGTTTTCAGCTCTCCTACCTACATCGATAATCTTTTCCTATAAATTCGATATCGTACTAATTTTAGTAGCTAAACATCTCACCAACAAAGCAAAAAAAAATTGTGTGTAATAATGGATAGCCATTGTCACCTCAGTATTGCTCACTATTTGCTTCTTTTGCTTTTGGTCTCTTCCTGCATGCAGAGTACTACTAAACTCTGTTTCTGTTTGGCTGGTGATGAAATTTCAAGCAGTGTGAAGACAAATTCATGCATTGACGAAGAAAGACAAGCGCTTCTCATCTTTAAACAGCATCTTGTTGATCATTCTGGTCGGCTTTCGTCTTGGGTGGGTCATGATTGCTGTCGATGGGAAGGTATTTCATGCAACAACAGCAGTAGTCATGTCGTGAAGATGGACCTCCGGCATCCATATGACTTTTTGGACGATGATGAGTATGAAGAGTGGAGAAATGCTTCTTTGGGAGGTAAGATAAATGCTTCTCTGTTGAGCTTGAAACATTTAAATTACCTGGACTTGAGCCTGAATTCGTTTGATAGCATTCAAATTCCTAAGTTCATTGGGGAGCTTAAAAGTTTGCAATATCTCAATCTCTCCTATGCGTCATTTAGAGGAGAGATTCCCTCTTCTCTTGGTAACCTGTTAAGCCTAAATTTTCTTGATCTCGGGTGGAGCGGGAATGTGTTTGACTTATCTTCCAAAAATTTGAATTGGCTTTCTCACCTCACTTCCCTGAAATACATTAATCTCAATGGCATTAACCTTAACAGCACAGGAGTCAGTTGGGCATATGATATTAACATGCTTCCTTCATTGTTAGAGTTACATTTATCTTCGTGCCAAATTGAAAGCATTCCACTCTCACTGCAGAGCATTAACTTCCTTCCACTTTCACTACAGAGGATTAACTTCACATCACTGTTGGTCCTTGATATGTCGTCTAATGGCATTAAAAGTTCTTCATTTCCCGGCTGGTTTTTTAATCTTACCAACCTCGTAACACTTGATCTATCCGGGAATGATTTCAGCAATTATTTTCCAAGTGGATTTTCAAACTTCAAATCTTTGCAAAACCTTGATTTATCTGAAATAGGCTTAAAAGGTCAAATTCCTAAAGTCAGTGGAAATTTGTGCAAGCTAAAAGTCTTAAGTCTTTCAGGGAACAAATTTGATGGGGGGATTGAAGAGTTCTGGAGGAGTCTCTCAAATTGTCCAAGTAATACATTAAAGTCACTAGATTTGTCTTATTGCCAGCTTGAAAGCCAATTGCCGGTCTTTTTAGGAATGTTCAAAAGTTTGCAGAATCTCAACCTTGGAGGAAACAATTTGTCGGGCTCAATTCCAGATTCCTTCGGAAACTTGTCATCCTTGAGAACACTAGCCCTCAATTCTAATAATCTGCGGGGCTCAATTCCAGATTCCATCGGAAACTTGTCATCCTTGAGAACACTAGACCTCTATTCTAATAATTTGTCGGGCTCAATTCCAAGTTCCATCGGAAACTTGTCGTCCTTGAGAACACTAGAACTCAGTGATAATAAGATGAACGGCTCAATTCCAGAAAGTATTGGACAACTCTGTGAGCTAGTTTCCCTACTTCTGTTTGGTAATTCATGGGAAGGCATTCTAACGGAAGCCCATTTCATAAATCTTACCAGATTACAATATTTTGAAGTAGGAAACGTAGACCGACCCACGTCCCTCATTCTTGACGGGGCTTATGACAGGGTTCCTCCTTTCAAGCTCTTCAGAATTTATATCATAAATTGTCGGATAAGTCCTGGTTTTTGGGTATGGCTTCAAACTAAAACTGAACTGTCTGATGTTATCCTTCGGGGTAATGGAATCTCGGATTCCATACCTGAGGAATGGTTGTTGAAGATATGTTCCCAACCTGGCTATCTAGACTTGTCTTACAACCACTTTCATGGAAACTTTCCATCCCATTTGAAATTTCCAAATTTAATGTCTATTGATTTGAGTCATAATCAGTTGGAGGGCCCTTTACCACTTTGGTGTTTCCCTAATGTCTATTCCCTTTATCTAGAAGGCAATTTATTTTCTGGGCCAATCCCCTCAAATATTGACCAAATGATGCCCAAATTGCAAGAATTGTTACTTCATGAGAATCATTTGAATGGCACTATTCCTCCCTCTATTTGTAACATGCAGAAGTTACAAATCCTATCTCTAAGGAGCAATCAGTTTTCGGGAGAACTCCCTCATGCATGGAATATGGAGAGCATGATGGCGTTTTTAGATGTTGGTCAAAACAATCTGTCTGGTAAGATTCCCACTTCATTGGGGGTACTACGTTCCCTGGAAATTTTAAAGCTCAACGACAACAATTTTGGCGGTGAAATTCCTGATGCCTTGCAAAATTGTTCAAGTTTGAGGAGTATTGATCTTGGAGACAACAAGTTATCTGGGAAAATACCTCTATGGATAGGAGGGTCAAACGTATCTGAGTTGTCTAGGCTACGATTACGGTCCAACTATTTTAGTGGATGTATTTCCCAGCAACTGTGCAATCTTCAAGGCCTTCACATCCTCGACCTTAGTAACAACAGCCTTTCAGGTACTATTCCCATGTGTTTGGATAACTTAACTTCGCTAGTCAATGATGATCCTTATGAAGAATATTATAAAGGGTATGAGCAAGCCACACTGACACTAAAAGGAGAAGAACTTGTGTACAACACAACTCTGTATCTTGTAAAGAGCATTGATCTTTCATCAAATAATTTAAAAGGTGAAATCCCTGAAGAAATAAGTAGCCTCATTATGTTGGGCACCTTGAATTTGTCCATGAATCAATTAATTGGAAAGATTCCTTCCAAGGTCGGAAACTTGCGTTGGCTCGAAACTCTTGATCTCTCACACAACCACCTTTCGGGACAAATTCCTCAAAGCTTGTCATCTTTAACCTCTTTGTCCCACCTAGACTTGTCTTACAACAACTTGGTTGGAAGAATTCCTACTGGAAACCAACTTCAAACGCTCAATTTTTCGTCCATTTATGTGGGCAATCAATGGTTATGTGGAGTTCCTCTCTCAACTAAGTGCCCTGAAGATGACACTTTTATTGCTAAGGATGCAAAGGAGGAGAATGAAGATGGAAAGGATAAGTTGTGGCTCTATGTCAGCGTGGTATTTGGCTTTATCGTAGGCTTTTGGGGCGTTTGCGGCACATTGATCTTAAAGACATCGTGGAGGTATGCCTATTTTCAATTCTTCGATGACATCAAAGATAAGGTAGCACTGGCAATTGCATTGAAAATGGCTCGTTTCAAAATGTTTTTATTTTGAAGTTGGATTGTGCTAATATATAATGTGATGTTTTTCTCTTTTTACTTTGTGTTTTGGTATTTGCAACTTATGTATTAAATGAAAAAATGTTTCAGTAAGTGTTCCCACAAACAATTATGTAACGGTTATCCATTTAATACAAGAATTCTATCTAGTTTGTACTTATGAATCGCATAATACAATCTACCTATGTAATGTTGCAATTTAACAAAATAACATTACGAAGTAGATAAGTACACTTGTGTATTCTTCTCTTTTACACATGAATGTCATCCAACTCGGCGAGTGGTAGTCCACCTCTACCGCCTTCTCGATGCTGCCAAAACCATACAAAAATGGGAGGAAGAATTGGTGGTTCGATATCGTGGAGGGTTTTCTGTGATTCCTGTTCCTTGCAGAGAGAGAGGTGGGAGAATTCGATGGCGTCTTCTGGGTTCCTGTCCCTTGCCGAGAGAGATGGGAGAGGTATTTGGCGTCTGTTGCAGAGAGAGATTAGGGGTTTTGCACAGAGGGTGGGTGGGCGATTCAATTGAGGGGCTAGGGCTAGAGGGATGGGGGCTTCATCTCCATTCTCGCTTGCTGAAACTTTCCGCTCTTCAGGTAATCTCTCAGTTGAAAGCTTCTAATTATTTTTTTTTTCATTTGGTATTTTATTTTCTTTAGATTTATGTATTTTTTCCCCAGTGAATTCGAAATGAAATCAGAAAAACGGATTTAGTAAACAAATTGATGAAATTTTTATTTGCGTGCCCTGTTTTTTATTTGTTTGGTTTGGCTCATAGAGAAATTTTTACTTGCTGCTACCCTTGATTTTCCAGTGACATTTGTGCAGCCTGCATTTAATCATATGATGATTAAATGGGGTTGAACGTATTAATGAGTGGTTGCGTTTATATAAGATTTTTCTTTGCTCTCTTTTTTCAAATCTTTCTAATTGTTTATGTGCAAATGGGGTTGAACGTATTAATGAGTGGTTGCGTTGTTTGCAGCGAGCTCCGTTCAAGGTTATTCCATTTCTTATAGACAATTTTGTCAAGATTTCTGGGTTTCTTTTTGCTTCTTCTCTGCTAAATTACTCATCTGGAAGTTCAAAGACCAAGTATTGTTCTTCAATTAAGATTTCTGGGTTTTTGTTTTTTTTTTTTTTTTGTTGCTTCTTTTCTGTTAAATTACTCATCTGGATGTTAATTTAGTTCAAAAGCTAAGTATTGTTCGATGAAATGTGTCTGAGAATCTGTCACTATGATATATTATAATTCTGACTCTCCTCTTCAGCTCCGGCCCCAGGTGCGTGAAGGTGACGTGGACCTGGTCGACGGTGTCTTCATTCACAGTTCCGGACGACAGTTCTGAACCTCTGGCGATTCCGACTGAGAAAGAGGTCAATAACAACAAGGTAACGGAATTCAATGTTTTGTGTTTGTTAGAGAGGCATTTTTGCAACAGTATATCAGAGAATATTTCTAGATAGTCTGTCCAGATAGCTTAGAATGTGTTTCATGATGCATATGGCTGAAGCGGTTTTGGCTACTTTTTGGATTGCTCATTAATTTTTTTGTTGAGCTTGGCTGGTACAAATACATATAAGAAAAGTACTATCCTTTTATCAACTTTTAGTCAGGTTCAAATTTAGAATGGATTTGTATTCATGAGGCATTTTTTCATATGGTAAAGTGCCTGTGTTCTGTGTTTTGTTGTTATTTTTTCATCCTTTTAAATTGTATTATGGATAAGTGAACACATTTAGCTGAGAAATTTCAACAACAAAGTTTAAACTTTTTGATATGGCATAACCCTCAAACTTGTCATATGGTCAGGTTTTTTGGTCACTTGTTTATGTTTGTGGATGCCTTGTTGAAATTATCTGTGTCCCATGTGCTTCATCTTCTGCTGGTGAAACCAGAAATATAACCGTTGGATCATTTGCTAGCAATTAGTAGAGGGGGATGGGGGCTTCATCTCTATTCTCGCTTGCTGAAACTTTCCGCTCTTCAGGTAATCTCTCAGTTGAAAGCTTCTAATTAATTTTTTTTCATTTACGTATTTTTTTTTATCGATTTATGTATTTTTTGTTCCAGTGAATTCGAAATGAAATCAGAAAAACGGATTTAGTAACAAATATATGAAATTTTTATTTGCGTGTCCTGTTTTTGATTTGTTTGGTTTGGAATTATATTATTTTTTTTTTTGGCCTGGGCTTTTAGAGAATAAAGTTGCTTGCTGCTACCCTTGATTTTCCAGTGACATTTGAGTAGCCTGCATTTAGTCATATAATGGATGGTGGTGTAAATTCAGTTCTTATAGACAATTTTTTTTTTAAAAAGATATCTGGGTTTCTTTTTGCTTCTTCTCTGTTAAATTACTCATCTGGAAGTTAATTTTGTTCAAAGACTAAGTATTGTTCTTCAATTAAAGATTTCTGGGTTTTTTTTGTTGCTTCTTTTCTGTTAAATTACTCATCTGGAAGTTAATTTTGTTCAAAGACTAAGTATTTGTAGACATCAAAATTTCGGTGAAATGAATGTTGACCAATAATTAAAATTTCAATGTTCACGTGTCACATAAATTTTACATGTAGCGTGTGCCTCAACGAAAAATCGAAATAAATTGGAAAAGTCATCAAATATGACACGTGTCAATACCTGGCAGAAATGATTTATTTCATCTGATTATTTAAATCCAAAAATCAAGTTTTGGAATTCTATAAATAGGAGGCCAAAGGCATTCATTTGGGAAGAAGAGGGAGAAAGAAGGAAGGAAGGAAGGAAGGAAGGAAGAAAGAAAGAAGCCTTGAAACTCTAAAGCTCTCAAGCAAATCCCGAAGGATCAAGAAAGCAATCTTCGTTCTTCGTCAAATCCACCTTCAAGATCAAGCCCCGACGGCCCTTGAAGAACTTCCACCAACTCAAGATCAAGCCCCGACGGCCCTTGAGGAAAGTGTTCATCGTTCAACATCCGTTCATCCTTCAAGATCAAGCCCCGACGGTCCCTTGAAGAAAGTGTTCATCATCCATCAACCTTCAAGATCAAGCCCCAACGCCCTTGAAGAACTTCCACCAACTCAAGATCAAGCCCCGACGGCCCCTTGAGGAAAGTGTTCATCGTTCAACATCCGTTCATCCTTCAAGATCAAGCCCCGACGGTCCCTTGAAGAAAGTGTTCATCATCCATCAACCTTCAAGATCAAGCCCCAACGCCCTTGAAGAACTTCCACCAACTCAAGATCAAGCCCCGACGGCCCCTTGAGGAAAGTGTTCATCGTTCATCATCCGTTCATCCTTCAAGATCAAGCCCCAACGCCCTTGAAGAACTTCCACCAACTCAAGATCAAGCCCCGACGGCCCTTGAAGAAAGTGTTCATCGCTCATCATCCGTTCATCCTAAGATCAAGCCCCAACGGCCCCTTTGGATCAACAACCTCAACAAATCCACACATCCGTTCATCCTTCAAGATTAAGCCCAGAAGCCCTTGAAGATCCGTTCATCCTAAGATCAAGCCCCAACGGCCCCTTTGGATCAACAACCTCAACAAATCCACACATCCGTTCATCCTTCAAGATTAAGCCCAAAAGCCCTTGAAGATCCGTTCATCCATCAACCTTCAAGATCAAGCCCAACGCCCCTTGAAGATCCATTCATCAGTTGTGCATCCTTAGATCAAGCCTCGACGGCCCTTTGGATCAACAACTCATCCACAAACCCACACCCTACGAAGATAGAATCAGAGGACCAAATTACAAAGAGATTGTAACCCCAAAATCATTAATACAAAATATTATTTTGTACACGTATTCTTGTCGCTTGTTTCAGGAATTTCTCGTGTTTACAAATTTGGCACGCCCAGTGGGACAATCTCTACCTCTCATCTCTATCCTCAAATCATCAAAAACGCAAATGGCATCAAGAAAGGATCAAGCTGTTCCTGCAATCAAAGCAAAGAACAAGAACATCATCGCCGCAAGTGGTGATATTTCGGGCATCATAACCCGAAGTAAGGCAAGAGATCTTTTTGCCGCGGCTTCCGCCCCTGCATTAACTCTGTCAAAGGAACAAGAGCACCTGAGGTACGAGCCTGTGATCACCCTAGCCTCGCTAAGGGCATCAAAAGGGGAGAGCCCAAGGAAATACTCAGAGTCCCTACTCTCCGACGCTGATTCAAGCGGCAGTACAACCATGCAAGTCATGACTACTGGAGCAACTTCAATCGAGGAGCAGCTAGCTCAGATGAATGAAGCAATTGCAAAGCTCACACGGACTGTGGAAGAGAAGGACTTGCAGATTGCCGCACTCGTCAACCAACTAGATGCGCAGCTCGACGTGAAAGTCGACCCAATTGTTGGCCTATTAAAGAAAGAAGGCGACGAAGAAGAGGAGCCTCCAGCAGAGAAAGTCGAAGAGAAGCTGAAACTAGACCAAGCAACGGCGTCCATGGGATCTCTCTCTATCCAGCAACTACAGGAGATGATTGCAAGCACTATCAAGACACAGTACGAAGGAAGCTCGCATGACTCCGTACTGTACTCAAAGCCTTACTCCAAGAAGATTGATCCGGCACCAAAACTTTGTCATTCTTGTAGTCGGCGATCTGTTCTTTCTTCCCATGACGGTTGATGCTTAACTCCATGTCATGGGCGCGGGTGGCTAACTCCTCAAATGTTCGTGGTTTGATGCCTTGAAGGATGTAGTGTAGTCCCCACTGCATGCCTTGAACGCACATCTCAATGGCAGAGGTTTCAGAAAGCCGATCTTTGCAATCCAGACTTAGAGAACGCCATCTATTTATGTAGTTGACGACAGGTTCATCTTTCCACTGTTTCGTGCTGGTCAGCTCTAACATGCTTACAGTACGACGAGTGCTGTAGAAACGGTTGAGGAATTCCCTTTCTAGCTGGTCCCAACTGTTGATAGACTCAGGTTCGAGGTCAGTGTACCAGTCAAAAGCGTTACTTTTCAGCGAACGCACGAACTGTTTGACGAGGTAGTCTCCCTCTGTCCCAGCATTGTTGCAAGTTTCAATGAAATGGGCGACATGTTGCTTCGGGTTGCCTTTTCCATCGAACTGCATGAATTTTGGAGTCAGTCTTCAATTAATCTTACAAGAAAGCATATGGGAACGTGGCACACTCGGTGTCCGATGAAATGTGTCTGAGAATCCGTCAATATGATATATTATAATTTTGACCCTCCGCTTCAGCTCCGGCCTCAGGTGCGTGAAGGCGAAGTGGTCCTGGTCGACTGTCTCTTCCTCCACAGTTCTGGACGATGGTTCCGAAGCTCTGGCGATTCCGACTGAGAAAGAGGTCAATAACAACAAGGTAATGGAATTCAATGTTTTGTGTATTTAGACGTAGGCATTATACATTTTAATTGATGCACATACTTCTAGAGGCATACTTCAAGGCACAGAAATTACGTAGTTTGTAGTCCTGTTAATTTTGAATACTATTATGTATTTCAACATAATAGTGTTCCATTGCACAAAAAGAAAACAGAAAGGAATTGTATGAGTTTCTGATTTTCTTGCGGTTGAAGAGGATCCTGCTGATGCTGAACCTAAATTTAACCCTTTTACTGGATCTGGAAGACGCTTGGATGGGAAGCCTTTGAAATATAAGCCAGCACCAGCTTCTTCCTCAGGATCCAAAGACAAGAAACCTGCAGTCACCATTGGAAATGCACAACCTTCTACAGGATCTAGTTCACAAGCTACCAGTTGTCAGGCTCGGGGAAAACTTGTTTTCGGATCAAATGCCAGTCGCTCTCCAAAGGAGACAAAAAAAGGTACTCTTGCTTCTCTTGTTTCATGACTTCCATCAACTGACTTTGGAATTATTTTACAAACGTTGCCAGTTTGATGTGATGCTGATCGTAAATCACTCTTTATCTATTCAATTCTGCAAGAAGCTGCAAAAGAGACTAAGAAAGAGAAACAGCCGGAAGTGAAAGAAGACCCGAAATTCTAGCCTTTTATCAACTTTTAGTCAGGTTCAAATTTAGAATGCATTTGTACTCATGAGGCATTGGGGTAAAATAGCTAGGGTATAACGTTTTAGTCAGGTACAAATAGCAACTGTTTTTTTTGTTTTTGGTTATTTTTTCATGTAGGGGATAACTTTTTGTTGTTTATTGAAAGGAATATTAGAACACATCCACATCCTATTTTGTCAAATTGTTCTAAAGTTAGAATTCTCCTGACTTTCTAACTCAAATCTGTGCCAAGAGAACCCAACTAAAGTGGTTCGCCGCTCCATTTATGAAGTATTAGTGAATTATTTGTAATTTACAAAATGAAACGAAAATTTTTGCGTTTTAAGCATACATGGTGAAATTTATGTTATAAATTTTTTGATAAGAAGCAGGTGTAAATTAGAATCATACTAATATAGGTATGCTATATACATAAATTTGATAGTACCATAAGTTCAGAATTAATCTTTAGTGTCATTAAAAAATATACGTAAATTTATATACATAAATTTGATAGCACCATAAATTTGGGGTACTGCTGTTAGGTTTTTCCAGCCCACGATAAGTTGTCCTAAGAGTATAAGGAATTATAGTCTTAGAGGATTAAATTGTTTTCCGAATTGGAGTTATTTTCCCAATTGGAGTTAGTTTCTCAATTGGAGTAGGTTTTATAACTAGATTCCAATTAGGATTAATAATCCTTATTGAAGAAGACCTTTATTATGTCTATATAAAGGGGCTATTGTACTAGTTTTGAATTGGGGGGGGGAGCAAAACAATAAATTTTATACCACTCAAGGGATTAGAGTGAGAGAATATTGTAAAGTGTGTGAGAGAGAAAAGAAAAGAGATAGTGTATTTCTTGTTCCTGTTCTTTCAGATTTTTCGTCAAGTCCTAGTTCTAGAGATTTGGCAAGATTATTGGTTGTACTTATTATTGATATAGTGAAAGATTGTTGTTGCTGTCCCGTGGACTTAGGCACGTATTGCCGAACCACGTTAATTCTTGGTGTTGATTTGTCTTGGTTATTTGTTTTCGATTTCCGGAGCTTGATCTGTTTTTACCATTCTTAAATGTGATATTCTCAACAACTGTTATATTTAGTACAGCCAATATGGTGCTGTTCAGGTGTTTTTGACTAATCTCTGCAGTTTTTGAATTCATCTGGGGTATTTGTGATTTTGAACGACACTAAAAATTTATGGGCTATAGGAACCACTTGTTAAGAAAATGGGTCCAAATTCAGAGCTGCATTCTTCTTCCCTCAAAATAAGAAGAAAACGCTTCCTCAACTCCATATTTTGGCACCTCAGGTATATTTGCGTTCTAAAGCCTTTTACTTCTTCCGATTTCTTCAGAGCTATTATTTTACCCATATGTGATTTGTAAAGTGGAAGATTGGATTTCATATGTCTGAGTATTTAGGGTTTTGTACATTGCAAACTTGGGCTTATTGATCCAAATGGCTAGAACAATGTACTCAACAATTTCATATCCTCTTGGGCCAAGGAGATTATATTACTTGGCAATAAGGAATATACTTCATATAATAGCAATGTGCTGATGTGTGGCATGCTTTAATTAGGGATATTTATGTGTAGTAAGAAAGCCATAGAGAAAGAGAGAGCGAGAGAGAGAGAGAGAGCCGAGGACACACAAATGACACATGTAAAACATTTATTTCATTGCTTCGTTTTTGGTACAAAAAAAACATTTATTGTTAACTAAGGAACCATTTTTATGGATTTATTGAAATATGTAAGAACTTGTTTCTATCTTAACACATTAATTTTGCTCAATAGGAATCCCATAACTGAAATTTTATAGAAATGGTGTAATTGGTCAATCTGAAATTTTGAAGTTTAGCCGAAGAATGAACTCTTACAAGCTTTCTACTGCATATACACATCTTTTTTGGTTGTTAGATTTTGTTTTTATTTCATTTTTTGGTAAATGCAATGGTTGGTTTTGCAAAGGACTGACCTTTATCTTTTGTAGTTTTACCTTTTTTGGTATTGAGTATTGGTTGGTTTTATTTTCTAGATTGACAGGTATTTGTGCGTTATTTGTTTTCAATAATCAGTTTTCGTTATTTGTTTTAAATTTTATTATGGATAAGTGAACACAATTATGAGTATCAACCATTTATCCGCATTCATATTCAAATGTAATTTAATATCGATTTTGTAAGAGTTTTTTTGTCAATAATTTATGAATTTTTGTCAGTAAAACAATTTTCGAGCCGCATTTGGTCCGACGCTAATAATTTTTGTACTGCTGGATAATTATATTTTCTCATTGCGCAGAAAAAAAGTTTGCAGTGTGGGTTTTCTAAATTCAGTCACTTCATTCTCTAATCTCATAGATCTCCAAATTAAAGCCGTTTAACCATGTCATTCTTTGTATCATTTTACCGTATTTATTTGAGTTCTGTATTTAAATGTTGTTGACTTTTATTACATGAAGAAAACTGCCATATCCATAGAAAATAAATTTTTGATTTGTGTAGCAATGCATTTGAACGCTACAATATTTTCTGTTTGGGTTTTTTTCCAACTTAATTTGTTTTGGATTTTTGATTTTGAATTTTCGGTTTAATGTATTTACAAAGGCCATGAACTCTTTGATGGTAGTATTCCATTTTTTTTACTGATTCCCAGATATTTTTTTCAAGAGTTTTGTCTCAGCTAACAGAGTAAATCTGGGGTTCTGTACACAACAAAATATGGAATTTAGCTAAGAAATTTCAACAAAACAAAGTTTAAACTTTTTGATATGGCAAAAAACAGATTCTCTTCTTTCTCAAAACCCTCAAATTTGTCATATGATCAGGGTTTATTTAGTCATTTGATTATGTCTGGGACAAGTATATATGTCCGAGGATGCCTTGTTGAAAATTTATGTACCCCATGTGCTTCATCTTCTGCTGGTTAAACCAGAAATATAGCCGTTGAATCCGTTGCTAGCAATTAGTAGATGATTAATTTCCTTTTTGTCGTAAATTATGGAACTTCCAGGAGCTTGAAGGGCTCTCAGATCCGATGAGGAAGGATGTTTCACAAGTTCGTAAGAAGATCAATGCGATTAACAAAGAGTTAAAGTCACTAGGACATACCTGCCAGAAGAAGGTAACACAACTTGGATTTTTACCACATTCAGATGTTAATGTTTACTGCTATGCATATGCAATTATGGATCAATTCGTGTCTGGTCGTGATGAATTTCGGGTTTGTAACTTGTCACAGGAAAAGGAATACAGAGATGCAGGCTTTCAATGAAAAGAACAGAGAAAAAGTGCAGCTTATCACAAAGCTAATGGAGGTTAGTTTGTTAAACAAATTTTTACTTGGCATAGCGGGGTTGCAATTTCATGGATGGGTTGAACTCAAACCAGTCTGGCCAGTTCGGAGTTAGAGCGAGCACGGTTGAGCCTGGTTTGACAAATTACCAATACTACAAAATTTGGGCTTACCTCCGGTTAGGAGTTCAACCCATCCAACCTCTCAACCGATGCTAGTTATCACTCATTCTATTTCGATTCAGTAAAAGCGTACATAGTGCTTATATAATTCAACGTTTTGAGATTGTTTTGTTGTCGTGTAACATTTGATGCAGCTGGTGAGTGAAAGTGAGAAGACAAAGATGAAGAAGCTTGAGGAGCTGAGCAACAACATAGAATCATTAAAGTGAAGAAATAGCTGCCTATGTGGGTAACTGATGATCTGATTAGGTTTGTGTGATGATTTATTTAAGGTGAGTATTTATTAGGTTTACATATATGGGTGGTGATTGGCATTTGGTGTAATTTCTAAGTTGGTTTGTTTCATTAATTAGTGCTTGGTAAAAACATTTGGCTGATTTAGGCAGGAAAATAACCTTTAAATTTAAACAGGTTTGTAGCTAAAAGCATCTGGCCTTGCATTTTTCTTCTCATTTTTCCATGTATCCAAACACATACTACCCTACTTCCTAGTGTAATGTGGGGTTCTTTGAATTTATTCCTATTCTTTGTTCTAACTTTTTCTGGATTGCAAAGGCCATGATATTTATGTAATAATGTAAAGTTTTATGAGTGGTTTTGGGACAAATGGAGTGTATTTTGTTCAATTTTTCTTCAGTACTCGGCTCTATACGGAAGGATTGCATTTTCTACTCCTACCCCCACAACACCATGATCTTCTTCTCTCTTTTCATGGATTCTTGTGACTGTAACCTCCATTTGCTGAGATCTCTCCCGGTCTTCAAGAACACCATCAACCACGGTCCACTGTGAGAGTATCAAAAAAACCCACCCTCCCCATTTTCCAAGTTTTCCCTTTACTCTCTCCAAATATTGAATCTTTCCGCTCTTCTGCTTGTTGGGGTTTTTTTGTTTTTTCATTTTTTTTGGGGAAAAAAGGTAAAGAAAAGGGTTTTTTTCTTTTTGTGTTGGGGGGTGGGGAGTTGATCAAGAGCTTGCATGGGTACGGATTGGATCAGGGGTAGAGAAGCTAGAGAGGGAGTTTGTGTTCAGGCAAATGGGTTGTATGTGGAGCTGACAGCTGAGCTGCTTCTGAGATTGATGAAATTTCCAGCTTCCAAAGTGCTCCAAGGGCATGTCAATGGTTGCTGGGTTTGCATTTTAGCATTTCATAAGAATTCACCTTCTGATTTGACATGCATTCCCTCTATTCTTTCAGTCTCCACGTACCCTTTTCAGTCTGATGAATTTATTCTTATGTTGTCTCGCTGCTTTTGATGTTTTTCACGGTATTGTTCTTTTGGTTGGGGGTTGTCGTTATTTGTGTTTGTGTTTATGTTTGAGATGTACTAATTGCAGTATTACCCGATTACGGATGTCTACATTTTTTTGGACCTTTTACCCTTTTAAATTTCGCTCATTCCCTGACAATTCCTAACTTAGCCACTGACAGAAGACAAACATGTATTTTGTTGGGGCTTCACTTGTTTGGTCTTTTCAAAGAAAGAAGAAAGGATTTTGCGATGTATTGGAATAGAGATACATGATATACTGATTCTCTCATATTATGGTGCGTGGATTGATTATTAATGTTATATTCTAAAGTATAGATTGGATCTTCTACTCATAATATAACATGTGGATGTGTTCTAGTATGTTTCAATAATTTTTCTTGATGAAGAGCCTTTGGTTTGCTTTCTATTATGGCATGGAAGAGTACATTTTGCTCACGATCCTTAGTGGTCGTTAGCATTACTACTGCATTAATTATGATTGGTTCAGTTTAGGTTTTGAGATATAAGTAGTAAATGAATCTGATCATATTCATTGATAACAATTCATGTGGTGGTAGTGCTCATTAAAATGCACTTTGAGTGGAAAAGCTAGGGTTAGAAGACAACCATTTCACTGAATCTCTTGCAATCTTTAAAACCCAATGCAATTGTCGATTTTTCTGTACTGTGTCGATGTATCGGATTACATCGAATAATTGGCGTTAAACATTATGCCCTTCAGCTAACTTTGGAATTATATTACAAATGTTGCCAGTTTGATGTGATGCTGATCGTAAATCACTCTTTATCTATTCAATTTTGCAGGATGCTGATCGTACAAATAGCAACTGTTTTTTTTTTTTTTTTTTAGTTATTTTTTCATGTAGGGGATAACTTTTTGTTGTTTGTTGAAAGGAATATTAGAACACATCCACACCCTATTTTGTCAAATTGTTTCATGTAGGGTGTTTTTTGACTAATCTCTGCAGTTTTTGAATTTAACTGGGTATTTGTGATTTTGACAAAATTTTTTTTATGGGTTATAGGTGTTAACTACCTTGAAATATTTGGGAATTGAAGAGAAAATCAAAAGAAAGATGAACGCAGAGAGCTTGGAGAGAGAGTTTAGAGATAGAAATATGAGACTTGTATTAACTAAAGAGAAAGATTACACAACTACGTTTTTGTAAGAGAGTCTAACAACTCTAACCAAATACAAACAAACTTACTAACTGTATTGTCGACTTGTACAATCAATTAACTAATCATCTAACTATTGGTGTGGAACCGCAGGGTTAGAAAATGGGTCCAAATGCTTCTTGCAAATAACCCAACGGTTAGGTTTAGTCAAAGCAATGACCTCTTCCCCGAGGAGGGGAATTGACATCACTTTTTCAACTTTTGTCACCACTTTAATCATAATTCAAGCAGATTGAGCACGCTAAGTTAGCCGTTGCTCTACAAAAAATACAGCTTCACCTTACATCGAAAAAGAAACCAAATCAAATAAGGAGTGCTATTATGTCCACTTTATTGTCTAATTTTTTCACCCACTTTTTAACGAAAATTTTAGTAACAAGTTTATTCTATTGCAAAATTACATAGAAGGACATAAGTGTTTTTGTTTGGGAATTGAAGTGACATAAGCGACACCACCTCTCTGTATCTCTCCGGCGCACCACCGTCCTCACAACCCAACTCAAAACGAAGTGAAGGACCCAAGGTTTAAGTGCTGCTTCCCTTTGATTGAGAACATATTATGCCATTCTTAGGATTTAAGGAACGATTCTTGGTATATACACAAATAGTGAGAAAATAGAACAAATCATGTCCCTTCCTCCAGTCGGGCTAAACGATAAGAACCCTAAAAAGTACAAACAGAGTTATAGATTAGGCTTCAGTCTCTGTCTATCCTTCTTGCAATTTCGTAAATGCATGTGAATTAGTGAACAAATTAATAGATGAATTAGTTTAGAATATTGCAAGTATTTAAAATAAAAAAAGAATACCGCAAATATTAAATCATCCTCACCTGCTTTGCCAATTGCCACTCTCTTGTCTCTTCCAATCCCTTTCATCAATTATGATTTATGGATTTCCACGGCTAGACATAAGGATTTTCCACCAAAGACTAATCGGTGTGCAAAGACTTCCACAGGTAGCTAGCCATCTCATTCATGCATTCATAATATCTGCTCCTACAAGGCTTGCAAACTTGTAAATATCCAAGTAGTGACTACCAATCTACCAGCATGTGTGGTGTGAATTATAAGAACATATCCAAATCGGTTTTCGTAAGTAAGTTGATAAGTTGTGAATTGTGATGGAACAAGATGACCCTTAATTCAAAGTCTTTGCTGCGTATGGATTTCCACAACCCATCACAACCAGATACCAGTTGTGTTGACAAGGGACCTGCAAACTTGTAAATGGGGTTGTGAACAACCGCCACTCATTTCAGTTGCCCTTTTTTCTTTTCTCCATCAGACGACTTTCGTTGTCACTCTCCGGCCTACATCGATAAACATCTCACCAACAAAGCAAAGAAAATAAGAAGAAAATGGATCCAAATTTATGACTTTTACTTCTTCCGATTTCTTTAGAGCTATTATTTTACCCATATGTGATTTGTAAAGTGGAAGATTGGATATCATATGTCTGAGTATTTAGGGTTTTGTACCATGCAAACTTGAGCTTATTGATCCAAATGGTTAGAACAGTGTACTCAAACAATTTCATATCCTCTTGGGCTAAAGAGAGTATATTACTTGCCAATGAGAAATATACTTCATATAATAGCTATGTGATGATGTGTGGCATGCTTTAATTAGGGATATTTTTGTGTAGTAAGAAAGCCATAGAGAAAGAGTCACATTTTTGTTTTTTTTGGATCAGTGAACGTATTCATAAATAAATTAGTTGATAATATAGCTAGTATTTAAAAAAAAAAATACCGCAAATATTAAGTCATGCTCACTTGCATTGCCAATTGCTACTCTCTTTTCTCTTCCAATCCCCTTCATCAATTATATTTATGAATTTTCACCGCTAGCTAATCAGTGTGCAAAGACTTCCACATGCAGACCTTTAATTCCAGTCTACCAGCATGTGTGGTGTAAAATATAACAACATATCCAAATCTGTTTTTCGGAAGCAAGTTGATAAGTTGTGAATTGTGATGGAACATGAAGACCCTTAATTCAACAACCCATCACAATCAAGTACCAGCTGTGTCGACAAGGGACCTGCAAACTTGTAAAATGGGTTGTGAACACCCACCAATCATTTCAGTTACCCTTTTTTCTTTTCTCCATCCGACGACTTTCGTTTTCAGCTCTCCTACCTACATCGATAATCTTTTCCTATAAATTCGATATCGTACTAATTTTAGTAGCTAAACATCTCACCAACAAAGCAAAAAAAAATTGTGTGTAATAATGGATAGCCATTGTCACCTCAGTATTGCTCACTATTTGCTTCTTTTGCTTTTGGTCTCTTCCTGCATGCAGAGTACTACTAAACTCTGTTTCTGTTTGGCTGGTGATGAAATTTCAAGCAGTGTGAAGACAGATTCATGCATTGACGAAGAAAGACAAGCGCTTCTCATCTTTAAATAGCATCTTGTTGATCATTCTGGTCGGCTTTCGTCTTGGGTGGGTCATGATTGCTGTCGATGGGAAGGTATTTCATGCAACAACAGCACTGGTCATGTTGTGAAGATGGACCTCCGGAATCCATATGACTTTTTGGACGATGATGAGTATGAAGAGTGGAGAAATGCTTCTTTGAGAGGTAAGATAAATGCTTCTCTGTTGAGCTTGAAACATTTAAATTACCTGGACTTGAGCCTGAATTCGTTTGATAGCATTCAAATTCCTAAGTTCATTGGGGAGCTTAAAAGTTTGCAATATCTCAATCTCTTCTATGCGTCATTTAGAGGAGAGATTCCATCTTCTCTTGGTAACCTGTCAAGCCTAAATTTTCTTGATCTCGGGTGGAACGGGAATGGGTTTGACTTATCTTCCAAAAATTTGAATTGGCTTTCTCACCTCACTTCCCTGAAATACATTAATCTCAATGGCGTTGATCTTAGCAGCACAAGAGTCAGTTGGGCATATGATATTAACATGCTTCCTTCATTGTTAGAGTTACATTTATCTTCGTGCAAAATTGAAAGCATTCCACTCTCACTGCAGAGCATTAACTTCCTTCCACTTTCACTACAGAGGATTAACTTCACATCACTGTTGGTCATTGATATGTCGTTTAATGGCATTAAAAGTTCTTCATTTCCCGACTGGTTTTTTAATCTTACCAACCTCGTAACACTTGATCTATCCTGGAATGATTTCTGGGATTCTTTTCCAAGTGAATTTTCAAACTTCAAATCTCTGCAAAACCTTGATTTATCTCATACAGGCTTAAAAGGTCAAATTCCTAAAGTCAGTGGAAATTTGTGCAAGTTAAAAGTCTTAAGTCTTTCAGGGAACAAATTTGATGGGGGGATTGAAGAGTTCTGGAGGAGTCTCTCAAATTGTCCAAGTAATACATTAGAGTCACTAGATTTGTCTTATTGCCAGCTTGAAAGCCAATTGCCGGTCTTTTTAGGAATGTTCAAAAGTTTGCAGAATCTCAACCTTGGAGAAAACAATTTGTGGGGCTCAATTCCAGATTCCATCGGAAACTTGTCATCCTTGAGAACACTAGCCCTCAATTCTAATAATTTGTCGGGCTCAATTCCAGATTCCATCGGAAACTTGTCGTCCTTGAGAACACTAGACCTCAGTTATAATAAGATGAACGACTCAATTCCAGAAAGTATTGGACAGCTCTATGAGCTAGTTTCCCTACTTCTGCTTGGTAACTCATGGGAAGGCATTCTAACGGAAGCCCATTTCATAAATCTTACCAGATTACAAGATTTTCAAGTTGGAAATATAAACCGACCCACGTCCCTCATTCTCGACGGGGCTTATGACATGGTTCCTCCTTTCAAGCTCTTCACAATTTATATCATAAATTGTCGGATAAGTCCTGGTTTTTGGGTATGGCTTCAAACTCAAACTGAACTGTCTGATGTTGCCCTTATGGGTAATGGAATCTCGGATTCCATACCAGAGGAATGGTTGTTGAAGATATCTTCCCAATGTGGCTATCTAGACTTGTCTTACAACCACTTTCGTGGAAACTTTCCATCCCATTTAAAATTTCCAAATTTAACGTATATTGATTTGAGTCATAATCAGTTGGAGGGCCCTCTACCACTTTGGTGTTTCCCTAATGTTGATTCCCTTTATCTAGAAGGTAATTTATTTTCTGGGCCAATCCCCTCAAATATTGACCAAATGATGCCCAAGTTGGAAGAATTGTTACTTGATGAGAATCATTTGAATGACACTATTCCTCCCTCTATTTGTAAGATGCAGAAGTTAAAAATCTTGTCTCTAAGGAGCAATCAGTTTTCGGGAGAACTCCCTCATGCATGGAATATGGAGAGCATTATGGTGTTTTTAGATGTTGGTCAAAACAATCTGTCTGGTAAGATTCCCACTTCATTGGGGGTACTACGTTCCCTGGAAATTTTAAAGCTCAACGACAACAATTTTGGTGATGAAATTCCTGATGCCTTGCAAAATTGTTCAAGTTTGAGGAGTATTGATCTTGGAGACAACAAGTTATCTGGGAAAATACCTCTATGGATAGGAGGGTCAAACGTATCTAAGTTGTCTAGGGTACGATTACGGTCCAACTATTTTAGTGGATGTATTTCCCAGCAACTGTGCAATCTTCAAGGCCTTCACATCCTCGACCTTAGTCACAACAGCCTTTCAGGTACTATTCCCATGTGTTTGGATAACTTAACTTCGCTAGTCAATGATGATTCTTATGTAGAACGTTATGATGGGTTTGAGCAAGCCACACTGACACTAAAAGGAGAAGAACTTGTGTACAACACAACTCTATATCTTGTAAAGAGCATTGATCTTTCATCAAACAATTTAAAAGGTGAAATCCCTGAAGAAATAAGCAGCCTCATTATGTTGGGCACCTTGAATTTGTCCATGAATCAATTAATTGGAAAGATCCCTTCCAAGGTCGGAAACTTGCGTTGGCTTGAAACTGTTGATCTCTCACACAACCACCTTTCGGGACAGATTCCTCAAAGCTTGTCATCTTTAACCTCTTTGTCCCACCTGGACTTGTCTTACAACAACTTGTCTGGAAGAATTCCTACTGGAAACCAGCTTCAAACGCTCAATTTTTCGTCCATTTATGTGGGCAATCAATGGTTATGTGGCGTTCCTCTCTCAACTAAGTGCCCTGAAGATGACCCTTTTATTGCTAAGGATGCAAAGGAGGAGAATGAAGATGGAAAGGATAAGTTGTGGCTCTATGTCAGTGTGGTACTTGGCTTTATCGTAGGCTTTTGGGGCGTTTGCGGCACATTGATCTTAAAGACATCGTGGAGGTATGCCTATTTTCAATTCTTCGATGACATCAAAGATAAGGTAGCACTAACAATTGCATTAAAAGTGGCTCGTTTCAAAATGTTTTTATTCTGAAGTTTGATTGCCCTAATATATAATGTGATGTTTTTCCCCTTCTACTTTGTGTTTTGGTACTTGCAACATATGTATTAAATAAAAGAATCCTTCAGTAAGTGTTCCCACAAACAATTATGTAACGGTTATCCATTTAATACAAGAATTCTATCTAGTTTGTACTTATGAATCGCATAATACAATCTACCGATGTAATGTTGCAATTTAACAAAATAACATTACGAAGTAGATAAGCACACGTGTGTATTCTTCTCTTTTACACTTGAATGTCGTCCAACTCGGCGAGTGGTAGTCCACCTCTACCGCCTTCTCGATGCTGCCAAAACCATACCAAAATTGGAGGAAGAATTGGTGGTTCGATATCGTCGAGGGTTTTCTGGGATCCTGTTCCTTGCAGAGAGAGAGGTGGGAGAATTCGATGGCGTCTTCCGGGTTCCTGTCCCTTGCCGACAGAGAGATGGGAGAGGTATTTTGGCGTCTGTTGCAGAGAGAGATTAGGGGGTGGGTCTAGGGTTTGCACAGAGGGTGGGTGGGCGATTCAATTGAGGGGCTAGGGCTAGAGGGATGGGGGCTCCATCTCTATTCTCGCTTGCTGAAACTTTCCGCTCTTCAGGTAATCTCTCAGTTGAAAGCTTCTAATTATTTTTTTTCATTTGGGTATTTTTTTTTCTTTGGATTTATGTATTTTTTATGAAACAAATTGATGAAATCAGAAAAACGGATTTAGTAAACAAATTGATGAAATTTTTATTTGCGTGCCCTGTTTTTGATTTGTTTGGTTCGGCTTTTAGAGAAATTTTTACTTGCTGGTACCCTTGATTTTCCAGTGACATTTGTGCAGCCTGCATTTAATCATATGATGATTTATATAAGCTTTTTCTTTGCTCTCTTTTTTCAAATCTTTCTAATTGTTTATGTGCAATTTTGTCGAGATTTCTTGGAGTTAATTTTGTTCAAAGACCAAGTATTGTTCTTCAATTAAGATTTCTGGGTTTTTTTTTTTGTTGCTTCTGTTCTGTTAAATTAGTCATCTGGATGTTAATTTAGTTCAAAAGCTAAGTATTGTTCTTCAATTAATCTTACAAGAAAGCATATGAGAACGTGGCACACTAGTGTTCGATCAAATGTGTCTGAGAATCTGTCAATATGATATATTATAATTTTGACTCTCCTCTTCAGCTCCGGCCCCAGGTGCGTGCAGGCGATGTGGGCCTGGTCAACGATGTCTTCATTCACAGTTCCGGACAACAGTTCTGAACCTCTGGCGATTCCGACTGAGAAAGAGGTCAATAACAGCAAGGTAACGGAATTCAATGTTTTGTGTTTGTTATAGAGGCATTTTTGCAACAGTGTATCCGAGAATATTTCTAGATAGTCTGTCCAGATAGCTTAGAATGTGTTTCATGATGCATATGGCTGAAGCGGTTTTGGCTACATTTTGGATTGCTCATTAATTTTTTTGTTGAGCTTGGCTGGTACAAATACATATAAGAAAAGTACTATCCTGTTATCAACTTTTAGTTAGGTTCAAATTTAGAATGCATTTTTACTCATGAGGCATTGGGGTAGAGTGCCTGTGTTCTGTGTTTTGTTGTTATTTTTTCATCCTTTTAAATTTTGTTATGGATAAGTGATCACATTTATGAGTGTCAACCATTTATCCTCATTCATATTCAAATATAATATAATATCGATTTTGTAAGAACTTTTTGTCAATAATTTATGAATTTTTGTCGGTGAAACAATTTTCTAGCAGCATTTGGTCGGATGCTAGTAATTTTTGTACTGCTGGATAATTATTTGTTTGTCTCAGCTAACAGAGTAAATATGGGGTTCTATACACAACATAATATGGAATTTAGCCGAGAAATTTCAAAACAAAGTTTAAACTTTTTGATATGGCAAAAAACAGATTCTCTTCTTTCTCAAAACCCTCAAATTTGTCATATGGTCAGGTTTTATTTGGTCGCTTGTTTATGTTTGCGACAAGAATATAAGTCCAAGGATGCCTTGTTGAAAATGTCTGTGTCCCATGTGCTTCATCTTCTGCTGGTTAAACCAGAAATATAACTGTTGGATCATTTGCTAGCAATTAGTAGATGATTAATTTCCCTTTTGTCGTAAATTATGGAACTTCCAGGAGCTTGGAGGGCTCTCAGGTCCAATGAGGAAGGATGTTTCACAAGTTCGTAAGAAAGATCGATGCGATTAACAAAGAGTTAAAGCCACTAGGACATATCTGCGAGAAGAAGGTAACAGAACTTGGATTTTTACCACATTTTGGTTTTAATGTTTACTGCTATGCATATGCAATTATGGATAAATTCGTGCAGGTTCGTGATGAATTTTGGGTTTGTAACTTGTCACAGGAAAAGGAATACAGAGATGCACTTGAGGCTTTCAATGAAAAGAACATAGAGAAAGTGCAACTTATCACAAAGCTAAGGGAGGTTAGTTTGTTAAACAATTTTTTACTTGGCATAGCTAGGGTTGCAATTTCATGGATGATTTGAACTCTAACCAGTCTGGCCAGTTTGGAGTTAGAGTGGACAAATTACCAATCCTAAAAAATTTGGGCTTACCTCCGGTTAGGAGTTCAACCCGTCCAAACTCTCAACCGATGCTAGTTATCACTCATTATATTTCGATTCAGTAAAAGTGTACAAAGTGCTTATATAATTCAATGTTTTGAGATTGTTTGTTGTGTTGTTGTTACATTTGATGCAGCTGGTGAGCGAAAGTGAGAAGACGAGGATGAAGAAGCTGGAGGAGATGAGCAAGAACATAGAAGCGTTAAAGTGAAGAAATAGCAGCGAATGGGGGTAACTGATGATTTGATTAGGTTTGTGTCATGATGTTTTTAAGCTGAGTTTTTCAATGTATATATATATGGGTGGTGATTGTCATTTGTTGTAATTTCTAAATTGGTTTGTTTCATTAATTAATTAGTGTTGGCTGATTTAGGCAGGAAAATACCCTTTAAATTTAAACAGGTTTGTAACTAAAAGCATCTGGCCTTGCATTTTCCTTCTCATTTTTCCATATATCCAAACACTGTAAGCTCCATTTGCTGATATCTCTCCTGGTCTTCAAGAACACCATCAACCACGGTGAGTTTATCAAAAAACCCACCATCCCCATTTTGGTTGGTTTTGTTTGTTTTGTTCTTTTTTCCTTTTTTTGGGGTGTGTGTTTGACCCGGAGCTTACATGTGTTCGATGAGGGAAGAGAAATAAGGTTGACTGCTTCTGAGGTTGATGAAATTACCAGTTTCCCTAGTGATCCAAGGGCACGTCAATGGATGGAAGTAGGATTTTCTCTCCTTCTATTCTTATCCGCTTCTCTTCCTTTCTCTCACACATTGTTTTATTGTCCCTTGATTTTCCAGTGACATTTGTGCAGCCTGCATTTAATCATATGATGATTTATATAAGCTTTTTCTTTGCTCTCTTTTTTCAAATCTTTCTAATTGTTTATGTGCAAATGGGGTTGAACATATTAATGAGTGGTGGTGTTGTTTGCAGCAAGCTCCGTTCAAGGTAATTTCATTTCTTATAGACAATTTTGTCAAGATTTCTGGGTTTCTTTTTGCTTCTTCTCTGCTAAATTACTCATCTGGAAGTTAATTTTGTTCAAAGACCAAGTATTGTTCTTCAATTAAGATTTGTGGGTTTTTTTTTTTTTCGTTGCTTCTTTTCTGTTAAATTACTCATCTGGATGCTAATTTAGTTCAAAAACTAAGTATTGTTCTTCAATTAATCTTACCAGAAAGCATATGAGAACGTGGCACACTAGTGTTCGATGAAATGTGTCTGAGAATCTGTCAATATGATATATTATAATTCTGACTCTCCTCTTCAGCTCCGGCCCCAGGTGCGTGAAGGCGACGTGGACCTGGTTGATGGTGTCTTCATTCACAGTTCCGGACGACAGTTCTGAACCTCTGGCGATTCCGACTGAGAAAGAGGTCAATAACAGCAAGGTAACGGAATTCAATGTTTTGTGTTTGTTATAGAGGCATTTTTGCAACAGTATATCAGAGAATATGTCTAGATAGTCTGTCCAGATAGCTTAGAATGTGTTTCATGATGCATATGGCTGAGACGGTTTTGGCTACATTTTGGATTGCCCATTAATTTTTTTGTTGACCTTGGCTGGTACAAATACATATAAGAAAAGTACTATCCTTTTATCAACTTTTAGTCAGGTTCAAATTTAGAATGCATTTGTATTCATGAGGCATTGGGGTAAAGTGCCTGTGTTCTGTGTTTTGGTGTTATGTTTTCATCCTTTTAAATTTTGTTATGGAAAGTGATCACATTTATGAGTGTCAACCATTTATCCTCATTCATATTCAAATGTAATATAATATCGATTTTGTAAAAACTTTTTGTCAATAATTTATGAATTTTTGTCAGTGAAACAATTTTCTAGCAGCATTTGATCGGATGCTTGTAATTTTTGTACTGCTGGATAATTATTTGTTTGTCTCAGCTAACAGAGTAAATATGGGGTTCTGTACACAACAGAATAGGGAATTTAGCCGAGAAATTTCAACAACAAAGTTTAAACTTTTTGATATGGCAAAAAACAGATTCTCTTCTTTCTCGAAGCCCTCAAATTTGTCTTATGGTCAGGTTTTATGTGGTCACTTGTTTATGTTTGCGACAAGAATACAAGTCCAAGGATGCCTTGTTGAAAATATCTGTGTCCCGTGTGCTTCATCTTCTGCTGATTAAACCAGAAATATAACCGTTGGAACATTTGCTAACAATTAGTAGATGATTAATTTCCCTTTTGTCGTAAATTATGGAACTTCCAGGAGTTTGAAGGGCTCTCAGGTCCAATGAGGAAGGATGTTTCACAAGTTCGTAAGAAAGATCGATGAGATTAAGAAAGAGTTATAGCCACTAGGACATACCTGCCAGAAGAAGGTAACAGAACTTGGATTTTTACCACATTTTGGTGTTAATGTTTACTGCTATGCATATGCGATTATGGATAAATTCGTGCGGGTTCATGATGAATTTTGGGTTCGTAACTGGTCACAGGAAAAGGAATACAGGGATGCACTTCAGGCTTTCAATGAAAAGAACAGAGAGAAAGTGCAGCTTATCACAAAGCTAATGGAGGTTAATTTGTTAAACAATTTTTTACTTGGCATAGCTAGGGTTGCAAATTCATGGATGGTTTGAACTCGAGCCAGTCTGGCCAGTTTGGAGTTAGAGTGGGGGCGGTTGAGCCTGCTTTGACAAACTACCAATCCTACAAAACTCTCAACCGATTCAATGTTTTGAGGTTGTTTTGTTGTGTTGTTACATTTGATGCAGCTGGTGAGCTAAAGTGAGAAGACGAGGATGAAGAAGCTGGAGGAGCTGAGCAAGAACATAGAATCTTTAAAGTGAAGAAATAGCAGCCTATGTGGGTAACTGATGATCTGATTAGGTTTGTGTGATGATGTGTATAAGGTGACGTTTTTCGATGTTTACATATATGGGTGGTGATTGGCATTTGGTGTAATTTCTAAGTTGGTTTGTTTCATCAATTAGTGTAAAACATTTGGCTGATTTAGGCAGGAAAATACCCTTTAAATTTATACAGGTTTGTAACTAAAAGCATCTGGCCTTGCATTTTCCTTGTCATTTTTCCATGTATCCAAACACTGTACTACACTACTTCCAAGTGTAATGTGGGGTTCTTTGAATTTATTCCTATTCTTTGTTTTATTTTTTTATCGATTGCGAAGGCCATGATATTTATGTAATAATGTCAAGTCTTATGAGTGTTTTTGGGACAAATGGAGTGTATTTTGTTCAATTTTTCGTTAGTACTCCGCTCTATACGATGTTATTCTTAGAGGTAATGGAATCTCGGATTCCATACCAGAGGAATGGTTGTTGAAGATATCTTCCCAACTAACCCGACTATACTTGCCTTACAATCAATTTTGTGGAAACTTTCCATCTCATTTGAAATGGCCAAATCTAACGTTAATTAATTTGAGTCATAATCAGTAGGAGGGCCTATTCCCATTTCGGTGGGCCGCTAATGTACTTGCCCTTTATCTTAAAAGTAATTTATTTTCCGGGCCAATGCCTCAAATATTGACCAAATGATGCCCGAGTTGCACATATTGTCACTTGATGAAAATCATTTAATGGCACTATTCCTCCCTCTATTTGTAACATGCATGAGTTGCAAATGCTCTCTAAGGAGCAATCAATTTTCTGGAGAACTCCCTCATGCATGGAGTGTGGAGAGCATAATGGCGTTTCTAGATGTTGGTCAAAACAATCTCTCTGGTAAGATTCCCACTTCATTGGGGGTACTAAGTATGCTGGAACTATTAAAGCTCAACGACAACAATTTTGATGGTGAAATTCATGATGCCTTGCAAAATTGTTCATGGTTGAGAAGTATTGATCTTGGAGACAAGTTATCTGGGAAAATACCTCTATGGATAGGAGGGTCAAACGTATCTAAGTTGTCTAGGCTATGATTACGGTCTAACTATTTTAGTGGACATATTTCCCAACAACTGTGCAATCTTCATGGCTTTGGCATCCTCGACCTTAGTCACAACAACCTTTTGGGTATTATTCCAATGTGTGTGGGTAACTTAAAATCTCTGGTCAATGATAGTTATGATCAATACTCTTATGATGGGGTTGAGCAAGCCACACTGACCGTAAAATGAGAAGAACTTGTGTATAATAGCACTCTATATCTTGTAAAGAGCATTGATCGTTCATCAAATAATTTACAAGGTGAAATCCCTGAAGAAATAAACAGCCTCATTCTATTGGGCACCATGAATTTGTCCATGAATAAATTGAGTGGAAAGATCCCCTCCAAGGTTGGAAACTTGCGTTGGCTCGAAACTCTTAATCTCTCACACAACCACCTTTTGGGATAGATTCCTCAAAGCTTATCATCTTTAACCTTTTTGGCCCACTTGAAATTATCTTACAACAACTTGTCCGGAAGAATTCCTTTTGGAAACCAACTTCAAACACTCAATGTTTCATCCATTTATATGGGCAATACATGGCTATGCAGCGTTCCTCTCTCAACTAAGTGCCCTGAAGATGACTCTTTTGCTGCTAAGGATGCAAAGGACAAGAATGAAGATGGAAAGGATAAGTTGTGGCTTTATGTCAGCATGGTACTTGGCTTTATCGTAGGCTTCTGGGACTTTTGCAGCACATTGATCTTAAAGACATCGTGGAGGTATGCCTATTTTCAATTATTCGATGACATCAAAGATAAAGTAGCATTAGCAATTGCATTGAAAGTGACTCATTTCAAAAGGTTTTTATTCTGAAGTTTGATTGTGCTAATATATAATGTAATGTTTTTCCCTTTCTACTTTGTGTTTTGGTACCTGCAACTTATGTATTAAATAAAAGAATCTTTCAGTAAGTGTTCCCACAAACAATTATGTAACGGCTGTCCATTTAATACTAGAATTCTATCTAGTTTGTACTTATCAATTGCCTAATACAAAATATATATGCAACGTTTATCTGTGTAATGAGATGTGTGAATAGCACATCCATTAATAAACTAACATTATGAACTAGATAAGCACATGTATGTATTCTTTCCTTTTACACTTGATGTCGTTGAAAACGGCTAATGGTGCGTAGAATTATCAGAGAGACGAGCCATACGGCCCACTTCCAACAACATCAATATTGTCCCCAACTTGGTAATTACCACCTGCACAATCCGTCAAGTGTGAGGTTTTATCACAAAAGGTCTCGGTATTAGTTGGAGTGGGGTGAAGATATTTAAACTCTTATTTTCTTATTGATACAGTCGACGTGGAACATAATTAGTGGGTCACACGTGGGAGATCTACACAACGACAACCACGTAGAGCCAAAGGAACTCACCCTACATGCGGGGCCAAAGGACCCACCATCATCGCGTGGGGCCAAGGAGACCACCCATCACGTGACAGTACAGTATGGGCCGGCTAGAGGGATGGGGGCTCAATCTCTGTTCTCGCTTGTTGAAACTTTCCGCTCTTCAGGTAATCTCTCCGTTGAAAGCTTCTAATTAATTTTTTTCATTTGGGTATTTTTTTTTCTATGGATTTATGTATTTTTTTCCCCCAGTGAATTCGAAATGAAATCAGAAAAACCAATTTAGTAAACAAATTGATGAAATTTTTATTTGCCTGCCCTGTTTTTGATTTGTTTGGTTTGGCTTTTAGAGAATAAAGTAGCTTGCTGCTACCCTTGATTTTCCAGTGACATATGATGATTATTAAGCTTTTTCTTTGCTCTCTTTTTTCGCATCTTTCTAATTGTTTATGTGCAAATGGGGTTGAACGTATTAATGAGTGGTTGTGTTGTTTGCAGCGAGCTCCGTTCAACGTAATTTCAGTTCTTAAAGACAATTTTTTCAAGATTTCTGGGTTTCTTTTTGCTTCTTCTCTGTTAAATTACTCATCTGGAAGTTAATTTTGTTGAAAGACCAAGTTTCTTTAATTAAGATTTCTGGGTTCTTTTTGTTGCTTCTTTTCTGTTAAATTACTCATCTGGATGTTAATTTAGTTAAAAAACTAAGTACTGTTCTTCAATTAATCTTACAAGAAAGCATATGAGAACGTGGCACACTAGTGTTCGATGAAATGTGTCTGAGAATCTATCAATATGATATATTATAATTCTGACTCTCCTCTTCAGCTCCGGCCGCAGGTGCATGAAGGCGACGTGGTCCTGGTCGACGGTGTCTTCCTTCACAGTTCCGGACGACGGTTCTGAACCTCTGGCGATTCCGACTGTGAGAGAAGTCAATAACAACAAGGTAACGGAATTGAATGTTTTGTGTTTGTTATAGAGGCATATTTGCAACAGTATATCAGCGAATATTTCTAGATGGTCTGTCCAAATAGCTTAGAATGTGTTTCATGATGCGTATGGCTGAAGCGGTTTTGGCTACTTTTTGGATTGCTCATTAATAGAATGCATTTGTACTCATGAGGCATTGGGGTAAAGTGCCTGTGTTCTGTGTTTTATTGTTATGTTTTCATCCTTTTAAATTTTGTTATGGATAAGTGATCACATTTATGAGTGTGAACCATTTATCCTCATTCATATTCAAATGTAATATAATATCGATTTTGTAAGAATTTTTTTGTCAATAATTTATGAATTTTTGTCAGTGAAACAATTTTCTAGCAGCATTTGGTCGGACGCTAATAATTTTTGTACTGCTGGATAATTATTTGTTTGTCTTTGCTAACAGAGTAAATCTGGGGTTCTGTACACAATAAAATATGGAATTTAGCCGAGAAATTTCAACAACAAAGTTTAAACTTTTTGATATGGCAAAAAACAGATTCTCTTGTTTCTCAAATCCCTCAAATTTGTCAGATGGTCAGGTTAGGTTTTATTTGATCACTTGTTTATGTTTGCAACAAGAATATAAGTCAGTATGATATATTATAATCCTGAATCTCCTCTTCAGCTCCGGCCACAGTTGTGTGAAGGTGACATGGTCCTGGTCGACGGTTCGGAAGCTCTGGCGATTCTGACTGAGAAAGAGGTCAATAACAAGAAGGTAATGAAATTCAATGTTTTGTGTTTGATATAGAGGCATATTTGCAACTTTGTATCAGATAATATTTCTGGATAGTCTGTCCAGATAGCTTACAATGTTTCTGCTCTTCTGCTTGGTGGGTTTTGTTTGTTTTTTTCAGAAGATAAGTGCAATTCTGTCTATTGTTCCTGAAATGTTTGTGTCTCAATGATGATTTCCTGATTCAGAAGGCTTACCTGCATAACAAAAGAGTTCATTTTTTTGATAAAAATGTATATATTTGGCGTTTTAAAGGCTCATGAATCTTCTAAATAATCTCACACAACCCTAAACACTAGAAAGTAGAAGCACCATACCTCTCTCTTTGTTTGGGTGAACGTTCACATCAACATGTTCAGGTGGTAACATAATTGACATGTATATGAAGGGTTTTGATGCTTTTGGCAATGTTGCAGCATAAACAACTTCTAGAGCTCTCTTCAGATCACTGCAATCTACCGATCTATCTGTGGTTTGAAAGAAAAACGAATAAGAAAACATATCAATGATGTAATTCTGACATCAGTATGTTAAAACAAAATTAGGGGACTACTTATATAAATAGCCTCCAAGGCGTGAAATTAGAGAACTGTCACCTACGATTTACTCTAATTTTCTTGTGTTGATAAGGCATTGCATGAATACTTCATACCATTTATAAAAAGCACCATGGTCATCTTCTTCGCAACATAATTGGAATCGGAGATAAAGCCGTCCATCTGAAAAACTGAGCTAGAAGGATCTTTATCTGAAGCTTCTATTTCATCAGACTGCGAGCAACAGACACCCCCGTACACCGATCGAATTGCATCAATCCCTGATGCTGTGGAAACAGAATGAACATCTGCTCCAGCAGCTCCATGCTGACAGTAATAGCATACAAAAAGATTTTAATCGGGATTTTGAATTTCTAGCCATGAAAAAGATCGGTGAAGTAGAAAGACAAGTTCTGTAGTGAATGAAACAGCAACCTACCTTTCTGCAGGGGGAGCTAACATTCATATGATGAATTGCAAACCGGCTTAGCAAATCTACAATCTTTGAATGATCATCAGCAGAATCTGATAACAATACCACCGCTTAATTCACCAGTAAAGATAATTTCATCCCATTAAACCAAAACATAGAAAGTAATTCATCACATTCATTGGGAAAATTTTAAAGTTTAACTGCTCTAATTGTTACCCTGAACCCACAAAATTCTAATTATTTCAAAACTAAATCATAAATTACAAGCATAACACAATAATTATCACTCAGATTAAAATGAAAAGGCCATTTCTTTCTATGAACAAATCATATAACTTTCTTGGAATTTCATCAAACAGGTAATGGGCACGCACCTATGGCCATGCAACTGGCCTTTGGTAATAGTGGTGACGGTGACGTGAGCTACGTATGTCATGCTGGCAAGTGCTTCTCCTCTGAACCCCATCGACTTTATCGACTGCCAGTCCTCAAACGCCGAGTGTTGCCGCTCACACGGTATCGGCAGGTCCTCATACTGCAATGAATCGTAAATTCGTAAATAAATTTAGAAATAATTCAAAATTTAATAAAATGGAATAAATGAGTGCAGAAGGGACTGACGCGTATGCCTTGGCCGTCGTCGGAGACTTGGATTAGTTTGAGGCCGCCGTCCTTGACGACGACGTTGATGGAGGAGGAGCGGGCGTCGAGGCTGTTCTCGACGAGCTCTTTGACGGCGGAGACAGGGCTTTGGATGACCTCGCCGGCAGCGATTCGGTTCAGCAGAGACTCTTCTAGGAGGTGAATTTTGGGAGGCTCCGTCGCGACTTGCTCTTCTTCTTCTGCTTCAATTTCCATTTCCGTTGCACTGCACTCGTTTGGAAGCGCCAAATTTTCCCGGCACCGTCAAAATGAAGAAGAAACGAGTTATTTATTATTTTTTTTTTTTATATTTTTTTGGTTCAATAGAGGAGAGTAAAATTAGGTTAAGAATTGCGTTGCCATTTAATATTACGGTGAATAGTATTTTTCTTTATTTATATGTGAGAGATTTTAAGTTCAATTATTATTAATGACAAATTTAAACTAGATTATTATGGTTAAACCAATGTGAGACTTCATTCTTCTACTCGTTTGTTCAAAAATGAAAGAATCACATTACAAAAATATACATAAGCGTACTAACAGTGAAAGAGGTATATTTCAGATATAAAAATTATATTTACATTTCATAAGTTTTTGGTAATAAAGGCTTAAAGTTTTTAATAGCATCTATGGTAGACAAAGAACACTAAAAAATGTCGACAAGAGGCAAGAGTTTGGTCGAGATAACCTACAAAACACGATAAACTCGAGTTAATCTATTCATTAGCCACAAAATTTCATCTTAGAATAAACACGACAAAGTTCACAACTTTAAATTATGTGTAAAAATTCATCAGAAGTGTGCACTAATTCACCAAGAGTGTAGTTGTTGCTCGCACCTACAATTCTAAGATATCTAAATGTGAATTTTCTCAATTATAGGTTAAATAAATGATTCGAAGTTCGCTTTCACGGTAAATAAATAAATAAATGAGTAATTCTCCTTTTATTGTTCTAAAATTTTTAAAAATTTGATCATTTTTCATACAAGTTTAATTTTTTTTGCACTTTTGTACTTCCGTTGATTTGTTTTGTCAAATGCTTTGTTAATTAATAAAGTGGCATGGCTTTAGTTGACGATGCTGTCATGTCATCAATTAACAAAAATATCAATGATCAGGTTAACAAAAGTTAGGTTTTTACCTAAAGCCTGTAACCTCGCAAAGGAATTTCATTACATCCCACACTAAATGAGATTCTGTTGATGTACGAGTTAAATTATGGACATGGCCTGTGAGATTTTATCTTCAAAGGCACCGGTTCGAGTAATAGTAAAACCACCTTCTTCTTTTTGCAAGTAATAGTGGATTACTCACACTACTACAAAATTAACTTAATGTGTTGGAGAGTGGTGGCGGTTTATACGATATAGTGTTGAATAAAAGGTAAAGAAAAGGTTTTTTTTTTTTTTTTTTTTTTTTTGGGGGGGGGGGTGTTGTTGATCTGGAGTTTGCATGTGTACGGATTGGTGAGGGAAGAGAAATAAGGTTGAGAGGGAGTTTGTATTCAGAGAAAATGAGTTGTATGTGGAGTCTGAGATTGATGAAATTACCAGTTTCCCAAGTGCTCCAAGTGCATGTCAATGGATGGGAGTAGGATTTTCTCCCCTTCTATCACTACAAAACAAAGTGTCATTAGCGAGGGTCAAATGTCGTCGAAAAAAGCATTTTTCCGTCACAAATACTTATTGCCGCAAATAGTAAGTCATACTCACTTGGATTGCCAATCGCCTCTCTATTGTCTCTTCCAATCCCTTTCATCAAGTATGATATATGAATTTCCACGGCTAGCCATAAGGATTTTCCACCAAAGACTAATTGGTGTGCCAAGACTTCCACGGCTAGCCATCTCATTCATGCATTCACCATATCTGCTCCTACACGGCTTCATTAAAATTTGGAAAAGTCCATAGGAAATCTCGTGTATTCCTTATTAGTGAAAAACAAATAAGAAAGCAACGAGTGTAACAATGACTATTTTAGACTGTTAACAACAATTTCACCGTTTAGAAAATTTGTAAATAATGACACAATAGTCATATCCAAGTAGTGACTACCAATCTACCAGCATGTGTGGTGTACGCAATGGACTTGCAAACTTGTTCAACCCGACACAGCTAAATCCGTTTTCGTAATTTACCATAAGAAAAGAACAGTAAATAAGATGATAAGTTGTGAATTGTGATGGAACATGAAGACCCTTAATTCAAAGTCTCTGCTGCATATGGATTTCTACAACCTGTCACAACCAGGTACCAGCTGTGTTGACAAAGGACTTGCAAACTTGAAAAAGGGGCTGTGAACATCCGCCACTCATTTTGTTTTCCAATAAATCGGTTTTTTAACATAGGGAATTTAGGCTACTTAGTACTACAGTCTATTGGTATTCCTTTTCACTTGTAAGTGAGAGGTCTTAGGTTCAATTCTCTTCCAAGGTGAGTTTGAACTACATTATTACTAGCTCATTGTGAGGCTAAGCCCACCCCCTCTCTTTAGTGTAAATAATATCAATTGTTAAAAAAAAATAATAATAATAAAAAAAAGGACATAGGGAATTTGGAATTTAAAGGAAAACAAGAAACAAGACTAAATTCAAAACAGGAAATAAAGCAAATCCTAATTGAAAGATGCGAACCTAAATCCATAAGAGCAACGAAAGCTAAATATGTTCTCACACTTTCCGCTTTTATTATTCTCCAACAGGGTCCAAAACTAGGGTTTACATGGCATATGTTAAATCAGGAAGAAACCAAAGTGGTGTTAATTAGGATTATATTTCATAAAGATGATCATTGTAATCCTAGGAATAGTATGATTACTTGTGTAAGAAGGAATCACAATTCTTGAGTGAAACTAATTTTAGTCAGACTAGTACACGGATATACCATGATAATCACTATATATAAAAAGGAAAAGTAATTTATTTTTTTAAGTACAATGATATATTTTATACTAAGAGGATGGTGGAGTTTGGCTAAATCAGACAATGGGCAACCTAATTTAGTATCAAATTTGTCATTCACGAGATTCGAACCTAAAACTTCTCACTTACAAGTGAAGAGGAATACAACCAGATCGTAGTACTTCAGTAGTAAAAGAAAAAGTACTTAACAGCTATATATATATCTCACAATTAGCAAAACCTTTTCACATCTCTCTCCCTCTCGTGCGTACCATAGTCAATACTGACAACGCTTACACAGTATATGTTATACATACTATTTGGATATGTTCAAGTTTGTTTCAGTAATTTTTCCTTGATGAAGAGTCTTTGGTTTGCTTTCTATTATGTTACTAGTTGCATGGAAGAGTGCATTTTGCTCGCTATCCTTCAATGGTCATGACCATTATCATTTACCACTTATATTAATTGCGATTGAATTAGTTTAAGTTTTGAGATTTAAGTAGTAAATAAATCTGATCACATTCATCAACAATAATTCATGTGGCGGTAAATGTACACAAAAATACACTTTGAGTGGAAAAACTAGGGTTAGAAGAAAACCATTTCATTGAATCTCGTGCAATCATTAAAACCAGTGGCGAAGCTAGCATGGGGTCATTGGTTACCATTGACCCTAATAACTTAAAAAACGTCATGTAAATTTGTTTGTGTATTGTATATGACCCTTATAAACAGCTAATGAAAACTAAATTACAATCTCCTTCTTCTGCTTGTTCTATCACATTTGTCTTCATTTTCTCTTTTCTTGTGCAATCTAATGTGCGCACCATGTGCTCGATGAAATACCTTAGTTAAAAAGCCTTGGCAACCTTCAATATTACTCCACAGTATCATGCACCCACCCTCTAAAAGCTACAAACAAGAGTAGTTGTTGACATATGTTGACATAAACTTTCAACATATGATGACAGGAATTGGCAAGTACCTACTAGGTGCTCAATGAAATAGCTCAATGAAGCTTTTTTTAGTTGATATTATGACCCTATTATTTAAAAATCCTAACTTCGCCACTGATTGCAACACAATGCAATTGTAAAAAATTCTATACTTTATCGATGTATCAGATAACTGATTACAACATATGGATTTTCCACCAAAGACTAATCGGTGCGCAAAGACTTCCACTGATTACAACATATGGATTTTCCACCAAAGACTAATCGTTATGCAAAGACTTCCACAAGTAGCTAGCCATCTCATTCATGCATTCATAATATCTGCTCCTACACGGCTTGCAAACTTGTAAATATCCAATTAGTGACTACCAGTCTACCAGCATGTGTGGCGTAAAATATAAGAACATATTCATATCGGTTTTCGTAAGTAAGTTGATAAGTTGTGAATTGTGATGGAACATGAAGACCCTTAATTCAAAGTTTTCGCTGCATATGGATTTCCACAACCCATCACAACCAGCTGTGTTGACAAGGGACTTGAAGACTTGTGATGGAACATGAGGACCCTTAATTTTTTTCATTTGGGTGATTTTTTTCAAATTGTGAATTGTGATGGAACATGAAGACCTGAAGTCTTGCAAACTTGTAAATATCCAAGTTGTGAATTGTGATGGAACCTGAAGACTTGCAATTTTTTTTGCATTGTACGCATACATAATGAAATTTATGTTATAATTTTTTTTTTTTGATAAGAAACAGATGTAAATTAGAATCATACTACTATAGGTATGCTATATACATTAATTTGATAGTACCATAAATTCAGAATTAATCTTTAGTGTCATTAAAAAATATACATAAATTTAGGGGACTGTTATTTACTACAGCCAACATGGTGTTGTTCAGGTGCTTTTGACTAATCTCTGCAGTTTTTCAATTCGTCTGGGGTATTTGTGATTTTGAACGACACTAGAAAATTTTGTATCAAAATTCAGAGCTGCGTTCTTCTTCCCTCAAAATAAGAAGAAAACGTTTCCTCAACTCCATATTTTGGCACCTCAGGTATATTTGTGTTCTAAAGACTTTTACTTCTTCTGATTTCTTTAGAGCTATTATTTTACCCATATTTGATTTGTAAAGTGGAAGATTGGATATCATATGTCTGAGTATTTACGGTTTTGTACCATGCAAACTTGAGCTTATTGATCCAAATGCTAGAACAGTGTACTCAACCAATTTCATATCCTCTTGGGCTAAGGAGAGTATATTACTTGCCAATGAGAAATATACTTCATATAATAGCAATGTGATGATGTGTGGTATGCTTTAATTAGAGATTTTTGTGTAGTAAGAAAGCCATAGAGAGAGAATCACATTTTTGTTTTTTTTTTTTTTTGGATTTGGTTACTGTAGTGATTACGCAATGAAAGCCGAGGACAAACAAATGACACATGTAGTTGGGAATTTGTGAGTTACATGCAAAGCTCATGGAAAGTAAGCTTTTGTAATGTGTCTAATGGCATAGTCAAAGAGTTGTCCACCTAAGAGCAACTCCAATGTTGGAGCCCTCCTCCTAGGCTATGCACTATTCAATCCACCT